TATGCCCATGCGTCCAATTACAACTTTTTTAAAATCCCCTACTCAAAAACTAGCTAGTTTCATGCTTAGTATATTTAAAATAATCAATTTCAAACCTAAATACTCAGTCCAAAATTCTCTTCAATTCATAGAAAAAACTAAACACATCAATTACAACAGTAAAATATTAATTTCATTTGATGTCACCAATCTATACTCCAATGTTCCCATAGACATGACCTTAAATCTAACCAACCAACTGTTTTCCTCTTATTTTAAAAACAAACACGATACAATTCATCATTTAAATACCATACCCAAACATATAATAACTCAAAACTTTTGCACTTTTAACGAGTTTTATAAAGTCAAACTCCCCATGGGAATGCCTTTATCAGGTCTATTAGCTGATATTTTTCTGGACTATATTGAGAATAATAATATTATTAACGATAATAACCCTTTCAAAGAAAATATCCACAGCTGGATTAGGTATGTTAATGATGTGTTTTGTGTCTGGGAGGGAGATAGAACATTACTCTTTGAATTTTTAAAATATTTAAATAACTTACATAAAAGCTTGCATTACACTATAGAAATAGAAAATAATAATAAAACTCTTAACTTTCTAGATTTAACGTTAACACATTCAAATGACGGCAAAATATGTTATGATATAATATATAAGTTGGGAAATTTAGATTTTTACTTAACCATTTAATAAAATATCCTCTATCCAAGGAAAATAAAATTAAAGAAATGAATTTTATACAAAATTTAGCCAAACAAAACAAATTTCCTTTGAAAATTATTAACAATCTTTTTAATAAAATATATATTCATTCCTTTATATTCGAAACCCGAAAAAGATCTCAACATTTATAAACTTATTGACTTTAATGATATTACCTATCATTCCAAATTCATCTTTTCTAAATACAACATTTCTTTAGCCTTTTCCAATAGGAACAACATACTTAATATCTTTTCTAATTATCATTACAAGATTAATAGTAAAATGAAAGAAAATGGTGTGTATTCAATCAAGTGTTCTGAATGTAAAAGTGTGTATATTGGCCAAACTGGCAGAAAACTAGAAACACGTATCCATGAACACAAAAATCTAATTCTAATGTTTTTAAACACGGCAAAGAAACGGGCCATGAAGTTGATTATGAAAATGTATCACTCTTACACAAGTGCGATAAAGGTTTTAAACTTGATTTATTAGAAACCCTAGAGATTAATAAACATAAAATTTACAATGATAACATTTTACTTAATGATCAAGTTGAAATTCAATATAAACCTGTGTTTACGTATTTGAAATATTTGAAATGACGAATTTTTTGGTTTCTGTTCCCATTGTGCACTCGTCAAACTTGTTTTAAAGAGGGGGGTTTTTCTTCTATATCGTTCCTTAGTCTTGCAATTTCTCTTCGCCGACAATGTCCTTCTTGGAATTTATTTTATAAGAAAAATTTTCTAATGTTATATGTCTAATTTAGTTTTTTCATTTTGCGATGTATATTTTTACATCAATATTATATGTTTTATATAGTTTCATTGACTGTAAGTTTTTTTACCATTTATTTATATTTTAACGTGTATGTTTGTCTATTTTACATCTATTTACAGTTTCAGACTGATGATGAGGTTGAAACCCGAAACTAGTTTCTGATTTAATTAATAAATAAATTTGGCAAGTAAAAGAAGTTTTTCTTTTAAATCTTTAATTATATTAACAGTAATCCGAAAAACGGAAAACAAAATAAAAAATTTTGAGGGGCAATCATTTGAATTTGTGGTATAAACGAAAATATTTATTATCTAAAACTTCGTTTAATAAGTTATCGGCGTTATTTTTTGATTGTTTAGAGATTTCATATTCCTCCAGTAAGTCAAGCTTCAATGATTAAGGTTGGTAATGTATCAGTTCCATGTTATTAAGACTTATTTTATGATTGGTTTCCGAAATATGTTTAAAAATGGCAGAATTTTTGTCTTTATTGTGTTCTTTAAAACGTGTTATTAAATTTCTACCTGTTTAACCAATGTAATATATTTTATTGCATTCGTTACAGGTTATTTTGTAAACACCATTCAGTAGATGAAAATGAAATTTGTGCTTGTTATTAGTGAATAAATTGGAAATTTTGGTCGTGTTTTTGGTGGCTATGTTTATGTTATGTTTTTTGGTTATGGGATGTAGTTGATTGATTATAGGGTCGTATTTCGAAATACAAATATATTTGGGTGGGAGTTTAAAGTGAGGATAAATGACTGAAATGATTTTATTATTATGAACTTTGTAGAATATGTTTTGTAAATCTTTAATATTATAACCGTTGTTCAGGTCTATTTTTATAATATTAAAAATTTCGGAGTTGAAATTTTCAGTGCTAAGGGGTGTGTTGATAGCTCTGTGGAAGAAGAATCTGAACGCTATAATTGTGTCAGTAGTGGTGGGTCTCCGGAAACTATTGAAGGTGAGAGAAGAATTAGATATATTTTTGGAGATTGTTAAGTCAAGAAAATTGATATTATTATTAATTTCTTTTTCAAGGGTAAATTCAAGGTTACTGAAATTGTTTATAAGATTAAATAAAGCTTTTAAATTAGCATCGGAACCGTCATAAAGTATGAGGATATCATCAACATATCTACACTAAAATTGGATATGTTTAGTCGAAAAATGATTAGTTAAGGAAAATAGTTGAGATTCTAAGTAGGAAACATAAAAATCTGCTAGAAGGCCAGAAAGGGGTGAACCCATGGGTAAACCATCGGTCATTTTATATAAATTGTCATTAAATATGAAAAAATTTTGATTAGTTATGATTTTAAGTATATTGATTAAATTATTTACATCATTGTTAGTTATGTTTATTGAAAAGTTGTTATTGATTTCAGTTCTGTTGGAAGTGAGAAAGTTTTTTATAATTTTTAAGGTTTCTTTAATAGGGACATTAGTGTATAAATTTTTTATGTCTAGGGAAATGAATTCAGTATTTTTGTTGATTTTTACGTTTCCGAGTTTAGAAATTAGTTCAGAAGAATTTTTTATAGAATAAATAGATTTGAAATTAAAGGAATTAGTTAGAATATTGTGTAGAGTTTTAAAGATAAGGTGGCAAGGAGAATTAATGTCGCTAACTATGGGTCTGATGGGATTGTCTGTCTTGCGTAATTTTATCAAACTATGTAAGGTGGGATGTAGAGGGTTCATGGGTATGTATTTTTTGATGGAGGGAAATAAATTGTTTAAGATATTTGAAGACTTTTTTAGTATATTTTTTAGTTTATTAGTAAAAGAAGGAAGAGGGTCTTTTTGGAGCATGGTAATATTATTATCATTAAAGAAAGATAAAGTTTTTGATGTATATTCTGGTTTAAGAAAAAATATTATTTCGGTACTTGTACTGTTAATATAATGTTTTATGATCACACCCTTAACATAAGTTAATTTCTAAGAAATTTAAAGGATTTTGTTTGTTTTTGATTTTTGTAAAAAAAATTTTTGGAAATAATTTGTATTTTAAGAAAGGAAACTAAAACTCATACCTATTCCCAACATATTTTAAAATTTTCCAACAATTTGTAATTATTTTAAGTACTTTTTCAACTCCTATACCCTCACCTTTTACCGTTATTATTGTCGTTCCGTTTAACGTTTGTTAATTTTTCCTGTTTTCCTAAAACAGGTACTGAAGATGAAACATTATTTTCGAACCATGTTTACTTTTTGAAATAATTAAGTACTTTTAATATTTCTCACAAAAAGTTTTTACTTTTTCCTATTTTATTATTTAGTTTTTTGAGAAATATGGAGAATTTCATCCCTTTTATATAATTCAAAAACGACACCAGTTAGACCTAAGGTATCCTTAATAAAGTATCATTGAAATTTCACAAAGAATCCAAAAATGCAATAATATACAGAGTGTTCCATTGAAAATAACAAAGTTGATATGCATTTCCGGTAGAAGCGGAAGTCCGTTATTACTGAAACTAATTTTAAAATATGCACGATATGATTCGATTCAACTTTTATCTGAAACATTTTTTGAAAAACTCAATCACAATTCGGCTATGGACCGAGGCAACTTAGGTGGGACACCTGTATATTTTTTTGTGACTGATGATACCAATAGTTGCCCCATATTCTTGTGTAAACATAAAGATAAATAGGTATAACATAGAAAAGAAATTTATAACATCAATAAAGAAATTTGCACACAAAAAAAAATTAAAACAACCCATGGTTACAAAGGTTAACCACTTATGACTTACTTGTATGTTTTTTTGTTTATGCAGTTTGTTTTTGTTCTAATAGGTTTTTGTTTTACTTAGCTCCCATTGTTTCTTTCGCTTATTTTCTTGCAACAAGGTGCTCTGATGACTTCAGGACGGCCCTGGTAATAGGTGAAAAAGTTGTTTATTATCAGCTCAATTTTTTTCCCAAACATAATTTATCTAGTGCTTCAACTCATATTCTAAAAGAATTTAAAAGGTTAATGACAATAACTTTTTTCTGAAATATTGCAAAATACATACTCTGGTAACAACAAAATTTATCAAGTTGATCGTGTATTAACGCGGTCAAAGCGTTACAAGTTATTGGTGACTTTATCTCCATTCACTAAATATGCCAACAAATTCTATTAGTAAATTGGTACTTCAACATCACCGAGGGTTTTCAATCCATCTGCGAACAAACAATTAATTGTCAAAACCATGAAAATTTAAATCTTGACTCAGACTTATCATCTTTTGTTCTTATAGTCTTGTCTCTAGCTAGAACAAAGGACAGATTAGAAAATTCTTCTAAAAATTCAGTTGTAATTACTTTGACAATGAGCAAATGTAATAGAAGTAATAAAAACAAAGCTTGTATTGCAAAAATTCTTATTGTAAGTCCTACTAAATCCGCTATTGAGTGCTTTAAATTTTCTACCTACAAAAAAGGTATTTATATAATAAAACAAGTAAGTATATAAAAATGTATATTATAAAAATAACGTATGTTATTTGATATACATATACACAAATAATATTAAATTTGTACAAAAATGTTATAATTTTTCGACGACTGTACATAAAACGTCTAAATATGACGTACAGGTAACTTGTAAAGATGAAAACATTAATAAAAAATTAATACGAAACGTTAGACGATGGCAGAAAAACAGAATACGGTCATTGGAATTTTCAATAAATATTAATAATTAATTAATTAACTAACCTGAATTGTTATAAATAATATTATCTACGGTCATAAATACTGAAAAAAAGTCTGTCTTACGAATAAATAATAAACTACAAATTACTGTCTGCTATAAATATGATTGTACATAAATACTTGTAAATATAAAATATATATTATTATTAAAATAATTCTTTTATACAGTAGAAGTCAATCATTTCTACACATCCATTCGGTGGTTTTATGAAGGCAAAATAGCTGTCGATTAAAAAAAAACTTATTACTAAAAAAAAATCTTTTATTCCTTGTAATTGAAATTGTTTACTTTAAGTAAACTTATATAATTGCTATGATTTTTATGATAATTATTTTATAATTGCGGCAAAAGTGGCTGAATAATAAAGGCAAGATATTGACTAGATTATTTCTACTATGTGTTTACAAAAAAAATATTTATACAAGGAATAAAAGAAAAATTTAAAAATTAAATTTTTTCATGAACTATCAACTAACTTCGTTACCTTCGTATTTTCTTTTACACGAGTCTAATAACCTAAATACGGGTTCAATATTGTAAGGAAACAAATTACTGTCAACTAAACGTTTAATTTGTTTTCTTAATCTCAATAAAACACCCATAGTATTATCAAGTTCGTTTTCCCTTGGGGAAGAAGAACATTCCGAACAACTCGATAAAAATTTCGGCCAATTACGTTTCACATATTTAAGAAATCTTAATAAATACAACAAAAAACATGTTTCGTTGTTTATTAGGAAATCTAATAAAATGTCACTATCATGACCGACGATATTTAAAAACTTAACGAATGAGTAAACGGGATTTAACATTAAAACTAAATCAGGGAAAACAGCGTTTCTATAAGAGATTCCAATAGTTATATCTAACGTACAAACCATTGCTTCGATCATATAATCATCTTGATCGCTAAATAATTGAACCAAAATTTTAGAAAAAGGTGTTTCGGGATGAAATTCTAAAGCATTTTTTATAAATACATCAACTTTTTTTAAAACGTCCCTTATTGATCGTTCAATCATTTGCATATCTTGATAAAAATCGAAATCTTCCGATCCCACACTTGAATCGGAACTATCAGATCGAGCTTCTTTTATTGTTATTGCAACCGATTTTAATACAAGAAGAACCATTTTTTGTAACAAAGTTTTATCTAAATTGGTTTGATTTAATTGTACACTAGGGATTGTACCCACAAAAGTGTGTACAGTTAAACCATCTCCCCTTCTATAAGGTAAACAATCTAAAAGTCTTATATCTTTAACGTAACGCACAATCATATGAGCTATTTGGCAAGTATCTTCCGGTAAAATATCTTGTAACGCTAATGTGCTGCCGTAACACAAAACTTCATTGAATAACGATAATAATTGTTTCCATATTATCGGAGACAGTGAGTTTGGTAACAGCCCAACAAAAATTTCTAAATGCGTATAAAAAGGTTTTGTATCAATTACACTTAAATTCGCTTTCACCGAAATAATACTTTCCCATAAAGCTAAAAACGTTAAAATACAAGTTTGTGATTCTACGCTATCATCTTGAGCTATCATATGTTGTATTCTACCTATTAAGTCAGGCCAAATTGTTTCTAAACCGCGTATAATTAATCCTTTAATTGCAGATGTATCGTAACTATCTGAATCGCTGTATGTAACAGTTGTACAATTTTGTTCGGCGCTTGTACTTGCACTTTCAGCATTCGGTTCTTCTAAAACATGAATTTCAACGTCTTTCCATTCAACAACACGTTTTATAATTTCTAAAGAGAAATTCATTTTTTCATAATCGATCGTTTCTAATTTGAGGAAATTAAATATCGTTTCTAACCATTCGTTGTTAACGTTCGTTTTCGCGATTATCAAAAAACTACTTAATACTTTCGCGGACATAAAGTTTATGTATTTACTACCAATATCGCAAAGCGACATTATTTGTTCTATTAAATTATATTCGTTACGAACAATCACTTCGCACACATTCACAATTCTCGAACACAAATAACCGCTGTTATTTTGTTTCAAATAAACATCAAATAACAGTTGTAGTTTCGATAAGAATTCTAACGTTTTATGTATTGGCCATTCAACTAAATTAGCCGTTCTCGTGCCATTCCCATCTGTTATTTGATGTCCCTCAAATGGTTTTCTTAATGTCGCCTCCGATATCGCACATAAACACTGTTTTATTAAATAATTTTTAAACGTATCAAACTCATTATCAACGGCTAAATTAACAGCCGTCGCATTCACTAACGGAGTATTTAACGAAGAATTACCATTTTCTTGTTGCTCATCATACATTGATGCAGAAAACATCTCCGGTTGTACGGATGTGCTCATATAAGAATTGGATAAAACGTACATATTGCTGGGATCCCATGTTATTTCGTTAGGTTCGCGAACCTGGGGTTGTTCCTCCGTACTTATAGGTGATTTTGCACCCTGACTGAGGAAGACGTTGTTTTGAAACGGATGTTGGGCCTCAGATATATTTTCTGTTATATTATGCACAAAATCTGGCTCATCCGTTTCTCCTTCACGACGTAATTTCTTCTTTACGGGCTGCTCATTGGCCATCGTAAAGTCGCGCTGTCGCTGAACCATTAGTTCCGGGGGTATTTTTTCTACTGCTTTATGATTTGGATATATTTTCTCGATACCTAAAACAAAATTTAAAAAATTAATATTTTATTAATTTTAGGTGTAATATTTCAAATTGTATGCATGTGTCTCTCACAAATGAGTTATATGGCGTAACAATATGATATACCGTGAATTAATAAGATGAGCTTGAACTTATTATTTAAATTAGTGTGAATGTATAAAAAGTAGTAAAACAATAATTGTTAAATTAAAACCCTTTTATTTATTTATTTGCTCTTATACGTTCTTACTTTTTTGGTATCATCACTCACTTCTTAACTTTATCTTGAGCTACAGAAAGTGTTTCTTCTTTTATACATTTAAAACCTCCAAAAAACCCTAAATATTTTTGTGCATACAAACTGTTAATACACAAATAAACGGTTTTTCCACAATGTATTTATTGTTATCATTATTTCTAGAATATCCCAGGTAATTTGTTTGGTAACATCTTTTACCTGAGTATATTTTTTATCTATTGTTTGTCTATTTGCGGCCAGATTTGGGTTTATTTAGTTCTAAATATTAAGTATAACTCTTTAATACTCAAAATGTCTTCATATGCGAAATGAAATAATGAACCGAAAGCATCATTTTCGCGAATATAATTGACGATCAATAAATATTCTATTGAATAAGCTGGTCAAAGATGTCATAAATAGAAAAAATACCAAATAATATATTGAGTGATATGAAGAACACACATTTTGACAAAAGCAGAGAGCTGAGGTGAGTGGTAAAAAACTAAATTAAGTGCATGCAGAAACAATTGTACAAAAATCTATATTGGCAATTTATAAAGTTACATATTTAAAAAATCAGAAATCAAGTGAAAGCTTCTACTCTACGAATTGGAGATTGGTCCAAAATCACCTCAATTCTTACTTGAAAACAAGTAGATTTCCATTTGCTGTTCATTTTGGAATCTTTTTTAATATGTGAACATACATTTTTATTGCACAAAGCATCGCAGTAATCAACGAATTTCAAAAGTGTATTAAGTTATATCTTAATGAATAAATGCTACTTGAAACGACACCAAACGGTGTTATAACAAAAATAACTTAATGGAAATAATGATAACTCAATTTCTTTTTTTTTTTTGCAGTTATGCCATGCCACTCCATTGAAGGTAGAACTATTAACCTCAAAACAGAAGTCAAATACCTAGGGGTAATACTAGACAGTAAATTAAACTGGAATTCTCACATGGTCAAGATGAGGAAAAAAGCAATTATGGCTAACCAGATCTGCAGCAGGCTCCTTGGAAGGATCTGGGGTGTTAAACCACGAATGGCTCACTGGCCCTACGTGGTAATAATCAGACCCATGGTTGCCTATGCCTCACTGATATGGTGGCCAAGAACAAATCATAATACAGCACAACAACAGATGGCACAAATCCAGCGGTTAGCATGATTTAATATAAGGGGTGCAATGAGATCTTGGCCGACGGTTGCTTTTGAAGCCCTACTCGGTTCCACCACTTCATTTATACATACAAAAGGACGCAGCTTTAAGTACCTTAACACTGAAAACATGATTTTCACTTAAGTTGATGCAGGGTAAACTCAGAGGACATCTCAAAATCCTCAAGGACCCATGTCTAAACCACTTGATTGAAATTAAAATGGACCTTATACCGACAGTATATAATTTCGACCAGCCGTATAAGGTGATATTTAGGGCCACTTTTACAACAGTGGTTTAAACTACGTTTAACTTAATCTATGGTTAACTAACAAAAAAATGTTTTACAACTACCGTTTAACGTTAAACTACGGTTAGAATCGACGTTTACGTTACTAGTACTCATCGACCGTTTAAGCGCCAAAACTTAGTTTACGGTTCAAATTTATTCAATTTGTGCCTAGTGAAAAATTGTTTTAATATTTTGTATACCTAATAAATTAAAAAGGATGAACAAGGATATAATCAATTTATGTAAGTAGTTATTTTTTGAAGTAAGTTTAATTTAAAAATGTTTTACAAAGCTTCAAATAGGTTGGAAATGTACCTAATTAGATAGTCTAAAACGTTCCAGAAACTCTTGGTCTGACCATTTTTCAAAATGATTATTCTGCTCACGAAAAACTTTTGCTTTTCTAGGAAAAGCCACCATATCAACTACTTCTAAGAAATCTGCATCGTCCGTAAGTTCATTAAATATATTATTCATAGTTGAAAAATATTTTTACAAAATGAAAATCAAACAGTTAATTTTGACAGATACTAAACAATGAAGTTAGTTATATGTACAATATGAAATTGACACTTATTACCAGCTGTAGTATAAACCTCCGTTTCTTAAACTTAATTTAATAATTCGTTGTAAAACATAATTTTTGTAAAACTTAGTTTAAATTTTAACTGCCGATTAGTTAATCGGACGCTAAAACTATGATTGTAAAACCGGCCTTAGAAGCAGGGATGATTGGACGAAGGGTGGGTGTCAACTTAAAAGAGGAGTCCATGTCTGGTACACCAATGCTTCAAAGACAGTTGGATTCGGAGTAGATATGGGCATTAGTGGACCAAATAACAACATTAAATTGCCCCTCAGCTCGGACATAACCATTTTTCAAGCAGAAATTTTTGCTATAAACTTCTGCACCGTTTTAAACCTAGAAAAGGGACAAAAAGGTGCATCCATAACCATTTTCACAGACAGTCGGGCCGCCCTAAAGGCAATTGACCTACCAGCAACCTGAGAGAACTCGCTAGAGGTAATGATGTTGCTCTATGGTGAGTTCCAGGTCACAGAGACATTGAAGGCAATAAGAAGGCGGACACGCTGGCCAAAGAGGCAGCAAAAACGCCTTTCATTGGACCCCAACCTGGTTGAGGACTACAAAAAAGCCACTTAAAAAACTGTACGCTGTACGAATATCAAAGTGTTGAAAGTACCGATGATGAAAATCAAGACGAAGAATTAAAAACATAACCTAGTCAATAGTTGGAAGGCCTCAAAAGTAACCTTATGCTGGAAAGAACTTCCAGGTCACAGACAGGCGAAGAGTATGATAACTCCGTGGCAAAACAAAACCAAAGGGGTTTTATGCCTCAGTAAAGTGAATCTAAGGTCGCTCTCAGGCTTCCTGATCGACCATGCGCTCCGAAAATACCATCTCTTTCACAGAGTCAGAAACTACTGAACACATACTGTGTGAATGCATCGCCAGACGCCCCCTAAGACACATAATTTTCGGCACCCCTGATACCTACCTACATAAAGGGATAAGACCTTGGAGCAATATTAAGGTTCATCAAGGATCTACATTTGCCCTAAACTTTTGAAGGGCTTAAGTTACAATAGATCTTATAGGTCCCGNACCTACATTTGCCCTAAACTTTTGAAGGGCTTAAGTTACAATAGATCTTATAGGTCCCGGTGACGCTGTTTTGCATCTTCTGAATTCTATAACAACCGTTCATTTTTGCATATGTAAAAAACTGTATTGCTGTAATAACTAATTGTAAGATGTTATTCTTCATAGGTGTTTTAAACGATAATGTTTAACCCTAGAATACTATAGTGGTTTTGATATACGTGAATACTATACTGTAAATTTTACGAAGGAATAGTATTCTAGGGTTAAACAAATACAAATATTCGATATTGCTGCGTTTTTTACATCGTCACCTGAGTATTATTTTAAACTAAGTCCATTTCAAATACAACGCAGTCAATTGGATTTAAAAGTTAGCAAATGAATGTGTTTCTTTATTATTGCCACTTATAGCAACTATAACTATTATATTATAGCACTTCATGTCACTTACATGTACAATTTATAAATTTTTTTGGCAAATGTGGCATGTATTTGGGCATTGATTTAATATCTGCCTTTTTCTTTATATCCAACAAATGCTTCTTTTGAAATGCATTTGACATTATTAATAAAGTAGTCTATATTAATATTACTATTGGGTCTATTGCGTTGATTTCGGATACATCCAGTTTCACCCAGTCTAACGGTTATCAAAGTACAATTGAGAGAAGTTTTATATCTAATATACAATGATGGCGTTATTTCAATAAATTTAACTTTTGAATAAGGAATATTGGTAGGCATATTTTACCCATATCCTACGAGGAATAACAAAGACAATAGTAAATTCACCCATTCCAAAAACCATGAAATATGATGTGATTTGCAGATTGCAACTATTCTGAATATTCCAAAATAGATTAAAACGTGAAGAAACAAACCTTCGCACAATAAAAAAGCAAAGAAAGGAAATATTTTCCAAGAAAGCGATCGATTAGCGGAAGAATAGGAAGTGGGATGAAAAGGATTGCGCGGGATGTGGTGACAAGATGTTTTGAAATATATATAAACCCGACGAGTGTCGTAGATGCCGACGTTGGTTTCATTGCGGTTGTTCTAAATATGGCGATTTCTGAGATTTATGAGGAAAAAAAACCGTGAACTATTATTTCTTTATTTTGATATTTGCAATAATCACTTGCAATGTTTGAATTATGAAATAAAAAGTTGAATGCACTTCTCCGCTGTATCAATTAAATAAATGAAATGAAATTTTTAATTATCTACAAACAAATTTCCGACTCTGTTTCCAGGGTGTCTACTATGAGGAGGAGTTCATTGTGATTCCTAATCTGTCCCACCTGATGAAGAGCAGTCTTTATCTACCAACGGAACCGTATTAATTTTGGGGCAACAAAGAGTATCATCGTGTGATTATCAATGTGAATAAACCCCATAAACATCACTTGACAAATAGAGAATTTATTTACAGACGTCGCTAGATCTTTCACCGGTTCAATCGAACATTTACTGGAACTGTTTAGAAGTACAAAAAAAATAATGGTCATTGAGGAGATCCGATATTCTGCACCGATTGTAACGCCTAAACAACCATATAAGGTATTCCCCAACATGTAACAAAGATGCTGACAAATTTTTAGAAAAACATTTACTGCTCTTGCGCAGCAAGGCATCAAATACACTTTATATTGTGAGATTAAAGACCGCCCAGCAACATACCAAAACAAAATTCACATAAGATTTTTTTGCAGAAACCTCCGCAAAATTTTGTATTGGTCTGTTTTGAAGATATCAATCTGTTCAGTGCAAATTGAGAAGAACATCTGTTGCACATAAGAGTGGAATTGTAAATTAATTACGATCATTCATTTCCCGCAAAAACAACACCTTGTTCTCGTTGACAGAAGAGACTAAGTAACAGCAGCACCACTAGTATGCTGCAATTACAAGACCTAAGGTTAACCTCTCTCAACCTAGGGTTGAAAAGACACTGCGAAATGTTACAAAACATGCTTCTGGTTGGAAAAGGCTAAAAATGTACAGAACCCCAAAATAAATACATGACGGTTTTTTTGTACGAGTGTTGTAGTTCTGTCACGTCAGTTGTATATAAATCGCAAACATGAAATTACTACAGCAGTATGCTGCAGAATACTTTAACTATACAAATTTCATACTTTTAAACATTGCCCCAACAAAGATACGTTAACATTTTATTTTTTTTATGAATGTAATACATCTAGATAGGTATCAAAGTCAAAGTTTTAGGTAGGTGTTATACACTTTGTTATACGCTTAATTCAATGTGTATAGATTGAATTAAGCGTTATTTTTAATGTTTAATATGTTTTAATTGAAAAAAATGGGTTTTGTATCATGAAAACAGGGTTCACCAACACTTCGCGAAATAAGTCGACTTGTGTATTTCGTGAGACAAAAAATGCTACATTGAAGTTGCTAAAAAAATAAAAAGATCTGAAACTATTATTTTTAGGCTTTGTGATAATGTAAGAGTTCATATATCAAAAATATTTTTTTTATATCTCTATCGAATTACTTGAAATGGACACATCTTGCAGCGTCAGCGAATTTAAATAGGATAGTCCTACACTTACTTGAGCAAACACGCTACTCAGGGCGAATTAAACCATTTAAATCCACATTTCAATTTATTGAAGAAATCGGATATAAGGATAAACATTTTGCTGAGGAGAATGATATCGTATATTCTTACATTGTAACAATAAATCTGTGGTTTCAAATGTATTTTGTTGTACAACTAACAACAAAAAGCATTGAAATGTGTGCTACTGTACAATATAGATGAATTAGCTTTGATCTAGATTGGTAAAGATACTGGTGAACTCCATATAATGAAAAGAGATTCGGGTGACATTCGTACTGTCCGAAATGTTGACATTCAGGACTAAGTTCTGTAACAATTTAAAATAACCCATAGTTACTGTAACGATGCGTACAAGTCACACATCTGTATGGAGGATATTCAAGGAATACCAGAAGAATCCGTTCCGCATTCAAAAAGTGCAATCAATAGAAGTTTTCTGTTAATATTTGTGCTGGGATTATATAGTGGGACCATCATTAATTTGTCTGCAACATACACTACCAGAATTGCTTGAAAATATCCCAGTTAATATTCAAAGAAATATTGTTTTTAGCATGATGGTGCACCAGCCCACTTTGGATTAAATTGCCAAAAGTAAATGGACAATTTTCAAACAGAAGTATCAGATGAAAGAACCGATTTCTTAGGCTGCATGTTCAAGAGATATGACTCCAATTGATTTATGTATTTGGGGTCATATTAAATCACTGGTTTATGAGATTCCAGTTAATACGGAAGCGTTAGAAGAGTTAATGGTCCGAATTATTCTAATGCTTAATGATATTCATGAACATTAATGATATCCATTGCAAATCATTACAATTTGTGTATTGAAAATAGTGGTCACTTCGAACAATTTTTATAAAATTTGATCCAATATTATTTCTAATAAAATGTTCCTTAAGTTAACTCTTTCCTGTTGTAATTGAGATTGTTATTAAAGATTTCTAGTTTATCTTGACACTGAGATATTTTCTGACACTAGTTCATTAATAAAAAAATTTTTATTACAGTGTTCTTTCCAAAAATTAGGAATAATTATTCTGTGACACTTGTATACCATTGACAAATATACAGATAAATGTTTCTTAGATTTGTTATATTCTAAATATAATAGTTACTTTAGTTGAATTAAAACTAAACCACCTCTATAGCTTTTAAATAATGAATAGTTCCTTTTTAAATGGCGAAATCATGCTTTATGGAAATTAATCCTAACTTTCTATTTTTTCAATATAACCAATTTTTATTAACCCATCTGCCTTTTGTATACATATTTATATAAAAGGATGTTAATGCTTTCAAGAGCATATTCAAAATCTAAGAATATTCAATATTGTTAATTCTTCAAATTAATTTTAATAATATAATCTAAAAAATAAAGAATAATTCGCTAAATCTATTTAAAGTAAAGGAAAAATTAGTAAGTTTAATTAACAGAATGTGACCAGAATAGTTATGTACTTTGTCAAAAATATAAAGTATTATATTGTAAAATATTATTGTGGAAAATAGCTAATTTGCATGTGATGGTGGTATGCTTTGAATCTGATTATTTCATATACAATAAACACAACTTTTAAGGCTGCCTACTTGGAAAGTCACCATATTTGTGCTTTTTTCCATGACTTTCGCTCTATTATCATAACATTTGTGTTTCTTGTAGTTTCTTTCTTTCCATAGTTAATATACTTTATCATCAATCATCTTTTCAATTAGCATGGAAGTAAAGCACATCATAGGTACTTGATCATAACAATGATAAAATGACATGATCTAAGATACAGAATTCTAAGATGTGACTTTCATATACCACATTGAATATAGACTATCCTAGTACCTTTTTTATGGACAATTATGTAAACATTTTAATTTTGAATTGATAGCCCAATAATGAATTTAATTTAATAATTTATATGCATTTTCCATTTGATTATGCTCTTCTTCATTTATGTTATGCAATTTTGTTAGTTACCATGTTGTTGATCATCATCAGTTTTCATTAATATACTGCCTGAATTTGCTCAGTATGTATCGGAACCGTAATTCTGGAGATCTGTATAATCCTACACACACCATTCTCAGCAAAAATAAGTATACATTTGGGTTTAGGATGATCAATGTAAATAAATGATCAGTGTCAGCCAATACTTAAAAAGATAAATAAACAATTTATATTAGGTTAATTACTATTACATGTAAACATAACCTCCAAAAATTTTTAAAATTCTAGTAAAACATCGTTTTACGTTATTTGTGTTATGAAAATACATTATAATGTGATAATATTTCGTTTAAAATGCGTTAAAAGTTGATATAAACAAGAAAAGTTTACCTTCATGTCTTGTTTAGAAAATTCACTGTCAGTGATTAACACTAAAAATATCTCTGTTAGAACCCATTTTAGAACCAAGTCCAAACGTTAAACCACAAAATTGCACCGAATCCAAACCGAACAACCACATATTTAATTAAAGAAAAAAGTTAAACTGTTTATTAGGTATACAAAAGTTGTGTATGTATACGTGAATACAACTCCATTGCGTACAATATGACGCGGGAGTCAATTTAACACCAAAAGAAACACAAAACGGCACAATTTCTTAACGAATAACTTGTTGTGAAACGTTAAACAATCGAATAAGTCGTTTAAAACCGGTTCGATTTTAAAATTATTTACTAAAAACCGTTTAAATAATTTTAAAACGAGGTACGTTTCACAAAAGTTTGCGGACAATTGACTCCTATTAAAGAATGTGCGACGTTGCCACATATACGGCTACCATTCATAAGAGTAGGAGTAGTTTTTTTGATTGTAGTAAGTGAAAGAAGTAGGAGAAGGTGAAGAAAAAATGTTCCTGATGTCACCGTGCATCGATAAAATCGCGTACACGGTTGCTTTCGTACGTTTGAGACTGTTCTTTTTTATTATTATATCCGGACAAGTTGACTCCCTGCGTAACACGGGAGGACTTGTGCTGCGTTGCCTTGTGTTCTCGCCCATGCATCAGCATCTTGGGGTCTCTCTTTTCTCTACTCATCTCACAGAACTCGTCTTTGAGCGGTCTTTTAGCTACCGAGAGTTTTTAACATCCTACAAAACTAACTTGCTGTAATCTTTCTTTCAAAACTTATACAAAATCATAGTAAAAAGATTTTTAAATGTCTAAATGTAAATACCTGATTAATTGCAATTTTCTTTTACATTGCATCAAATTGATTGCTTTTTCTTTAAAAATAGTATGTACAACTTCTTTTTTCCAAATTTATGATCAATTTTCGCTTATATTATTTAAACTCCTAAAATCTCAAATTGTTGAAAATTGAAACATTTTGATATTAGGGCCCACAACAATTTTAAACATTGTAATTCAACTTATCGCTTTATTTATTAAATTAAATACATACCTACAATATTATTTCCCACGTAAAATATTCTTATCTTATTAGTTTTTAAACAAACATTTTTATACAGTTCAAATTGATTTTGACATAAATTTGACATAATCACATCGAGTATTTAAACATCTGGAAAATTCTATTATTTTGTCATATTAACATATTTTATTAAAATATAATTTAAATGAGAACTCTAATATATTTTTCTATAAATCATAAATGCAATATTCTTATTTTTTTGTATTTGATCAATAATATTTAATTTGTTCTGAAATTATTATATGTATTGTATATAGAAATCTCTGGAGAATTCTGTTACCCCCACTACTTTAAAACACAGACAAAATGGAACCCAATTGCATGATTTAGCGGGAAATTTAAAACTCTCTCAATTATTGAGAATTAAAATAAATTTATAGAAACTTCCTTTTTAATTAACTAAATTTAATGGATATAACGATAATAAATTAAAGTTTGTTTAAAATCTATTAGATTATACAGGTTATCTCCAAAATGCGTGTACAACTGAAGACTACAGATTCCTAGCCGCAAAGTAGGTCGATTTAAGTTAAGTTATCTATATCCAAAGTTGCTTCTTAAATCAGTGCCAACTACGATGAGGTTTTGTAATTACAATGGCGTAAACAAAGCTTGCAGATATTTAAAAATACCTTTTTTCTAAGTTAACCACTTACGGAATCAAAATCTTGTAAAAGATAAAAAAGTTTCAGAACTAAATGGGCTATTCAGAAATTATAATAATGTAATTGTCACCTGACCAGTAAAAAAATATGGGGTAATATCCGCTGAATACATGAGTTTTCCATAATTTTTGTGTTTCTAAAATTGCATCGGAAAGCGTAAAAGGATGTTAATTGAACCTAGGAACTGACTTCTGAAAAATGATTTAAAATTGATTCCTGATTGAAGTCCTCTAGTGACGAAACAAAGCAACTTTGGATAGAGATAACTTAACTTAAATCGACCTATTTTGAGCCAAGGAATCCGTGGTCTTCCATTGTACACGCATTTCGAAGACAGCTGTATATTAGTACAGTCGAACTTAGAACTAAGAATAAAAAATCAAAGATTGGTTAAACCAAAACTTCCTCTTCTTCTACTTTTGACTATGGGTGCATCTCTGTTTGTTAAGACTCATGTATGGACTTTACGCCGCAGACGAGGAGAACCAGCTCTGTGCCCATCTCTTGGGCGGACCTCTTTCTGGTCTTTTTCTTTCGGTCGTCCATACCAGCATATTCTGGCCAATCTCCTCTTATCCATTACTTTCACATGCTCCTTCTACCTTTTCTTTCTTAATTTTGTCCATTTTACTACATCCTGTATGTTACATCTTTCTCTGATATAGGTGTTGGTCTGACTATCTCGCAGTGTCACATTCAACATAGATCTCAAGACTATCATCTCCGTCACCCTCATCCTCTGTTTAGTCTTCTTTGTTTCTGTTGTCGTCTTCGGTACCATATGTTAGTATGAATCGTATCATGGCTTTATATATTTTATGATTAATTATTTTTATTTTTCCTTCTACACGCATGTAAGCGTTCCTTACGCAGCCTGCCACTTGTGTCGTTTCTTTAACTTGTGCTTGTGCTTTCTTTCATAGATCTCGATAACTTGAGTCTTCAACTTGTAGTTTGCAGCGTCTTGCTTTTTTGGATATTACCATACATTTTGTTTTCTCCGTTGATATTTTCATATTGTATTGCTTAGCTGCTATGTTGAAGTGATACACTAGTCTTTCCAGGTTATCTTCATTACTTGCAATCAAAACGGCATCGTCGGCATAGCAAACTATGTCTTTCGTATCTGTAGCATTGAAATATCACTAGTCCCTTCTGCTATATTTAAACAAAATTAGCAAGTAATATTAGTTTTTAGTTCTTTAACAGTAAAACCTGCTATGTATGCTACAATATCAATTGAATGGTAGTTAAATGTATGTTGTCTAAATTTGCAACGTTATAATGTCCAGTGTTTCAATCTATTTTTGAGTATTGATGAACAATTGAAAAGATTAGTATGATCTAATGCAATTGCATTTTCAGATTCTGCCCGTTTACTGCCGGCATCTAACAAAATCGGTAATTGATTGACCAACTTATCAAATTTCATTGAATTTTCTCATTAAATCTTCTTTTACCGATATGTTAGGTTAGGAATATGATATCGAGGCGTGACTATCATTAGCTTGTTTGGGCTTCATTTTGCTATTTTTTCATGAAAAAAAAGTAATACCAATAGATTTAACTTTTCTAAGAAAATTCACAATTTTTATTGTTGGTATTTGCCTAAAGGAATCTCAGGCTGTTGTGGATCTGAAACTTTCCCAACTTTGAATTCAGGATCTTCCATTTTTCGTGCGTCACTATACACCTTTTGTCGATCTTGCTGGTTCTTATTCTTGGTTCGGGCACCTTGTAGAATTTTGAATAATTGTTGTAGATACGGAAGTATCTCTGGGATTAAATTTTCTGAATTTGTTATAGTACGTAGATCATGTTGAATCATCCTCAGGGGTTAAACGATAGGGTGGAAGAGCGCTATTCGATGCTCTGCAAACCGTGTAGCTTCTCCCCTTGGTTGGAAGATATCGTTATTCTTTGTGAGCAATGAATTTAATCTCGATCGGTCTTCATGATTTAAAGAAGAATTTTCGTCACTCCAAAGAACACTCAAGCATCACAACAAACATTATCTCATACATCAATTTATATTGTTCATTTGGTTTCTCGCTGAAATACCACTTACTTCGGGAAGCATCAAGTACTAATCTAGCATCGGTAATAAAATCCATTCCAAAAAGTGTAGAAGAAAAGCATAACAAGAAAAGTTCTAGCAACAAATTGCCCTTTCACATCAACGTCAACCCTAGTAATGAGAACGTTTGCCAATTTAGTTGAACCATCAGCTAATCGTATCTCCACTATTTTATTACTAAACGTTTAACCTTCAGCCTTCATTATTTCAAATAATTCAGCACTTGCAAGACTATGTTTTGCTCCAGTGTAGATTATTCATCGACCAAACTTGTTAAGAATATGTACATAAAAAACAGCTCTTATCCTTGGTTTAAAATTTATGTTTTTGCAATCCAATGTAGAAAACTCTGTACCTACCCGCATCCAAAACATGTTATTTGACGTTTTGTCTTTTCTGAATCATTACTTTCACTTTTGTTTTCGAATTTGCTTTGTTTTTGTTCTATTTTCTTACATCCTCGACAAGATGTCCAAAATTCTATACCTATCAGATTTCTCTATTTTATCAAAATCTTTTTGGAAAGTTTCCTCAGCAAACCGTGCTTGCGCCAATAAGTCAGAAAAAGTATCAACATTAGAGAGTGGAACCTTTTCTTTGATTTTATTATGTAACAAAGCATAAACCATGTCAAGTTGAATAGATTCTTTCAACTCATCTTTAGGTAATTGTGCCAATAAAGCTCTCGCTTTGCAAATAAAAATATCGCAAGGAGTATTTTTATCCTGTTCGATAGCAAAAAGTTTTCAATAGAAGTTCAAGTGCGGTCCAAACGTACTCTTTAGTAATATTAAGGCATCTTTCCACGTTAGTACCGTCTCTTTTACACCATGCCACCAACTCAGCAAAATCATCTAAAAGCATTGACAATCCTCATAGAGCATTCTCATCAGATACATTTGCGCAGTCCTTATACGTTTCGATAATATGCACAAATGCTGCAACGTCCGTGTCTTTTGATCCATTAAATCTAGACGAGCATTTCGAAAAATTTCCAAAAAATTGTACTGTTTGACTCTGACCAGTATTTTGAACGCTAAGAATCAACTCTTACTCTTAGTTAACGTTTTATCTTCCATTTTCTTTTTAATATTACTCTACTATGCAACCAATAGACTCACGTGAGGTTTTTCCCGTATTTGCCAAGGTAAAATAATTGGTTTCTTTGAAAACAGAATTTCTAACCTCCAAAAAATCGTTATTGTAACCAGTGCTTCGTAGTCAGAAAATTACACCAAAATCTTTTGAAATCCAAGCGTGGTCCCACGTTGGGCGCCATATAACAACTAATAATATTGTAACCAGTTCAAGTTTCCTTAATCTTCTTCTCTTCACACTACGCCTTAAATTTAGCGTACTGTTGTTCATACCATCCGTGAGACTTCTCTGGAAATAGTGTTTTAATAGAACTCTGAGCAATTTCTCTTATTTCAGAAAGTGTACATGAAACATTTTTTTCAGGTCTATACATTTTGTGTTTTGACAATTTCTAATTGTCAATTCAAATTTCTATTTTCAAGTGTTACGGTGTTACCAACTGCTACATACCTATTTCCCTACATTGTCAAAATTTATTTTATTTTTGTTAAAAAAAAAGAATAAAAATGCGAATTACAAAAAATAACATAAAAAACACGTTTCGTAAGACTTAAAACACTCATTCATTAAAAAACTTGTGAAATGCCCGGTGTCTATCTTTAATTTTCATTTTGCTGCCGTATGGAATTAATAGATGGCGTGACAACATTTTTTAATTCAAGATGGCGCTTGCGCCCCATGGTGATCATCTTGGAAACCTTAAAATAATTTCCAGGATTTTCTCTTAGTCACTTTAGTCATTAAATTGTTTACTGCAAGTCTTTACAATATTGAGTAGTTTCCGAGATACAATACTTTGCAAGCTTATTTGGTCACCTGAACATAATTGAAATGTGAGTACCCTCTATTACCCTAAATACAAACTAAAAGTAACCGAGCAAAGCCAGTAACATTACCGTTACCAACCTAAAACTTCAATAAGCTACTATTAATTGTTAAGAGATGTCGCTTTCGACAATTCGTGAATATATCGTATTACGAAAATAATACACACGCAAAATGCAACCGTGTATCTCCACCCTATTTCGCATTAACATTTCGACGAAATAGTGTTTCGCGTCGTGTTCGGGTACCGGCCCCGCCCCACGTTACAGTGCTGTCCCCGTTGTCTCCAGGAAATCACATTTTCCCCAAAGAAAAAAACCGTATACCGCATCGTCGACCCAGCACCAACAGAACACACTCTACTCGTTCGTACTCGGTGGGGGTGTCTAATAAAATGGCTACGTGAAGTGATGATAGTGAATGTGTAACGTTTTAAATGCTCGAATCGGACCGTTTAAACGTCAATAAAAAGGTAATTATTGTTGTTTTCGTATCGTGTTTTCGGTGGTGTCCCGGCGGAAGCGCCGTATGATCCTCTGTATTTTGGGTACAGATTGGTTTATTGATGTTTATATTTAGGTTACCACCGTCATACCGATATCCTACTTAGCATACCATATTCATTATTTTTTTTTCTTTTAGTTCCGTATCGTTTATGCAATTATTTTGCGTCTATATCTACCGGAGGTTGAGTTTTCACCTTTTAGGTTATGTCTATCTTATCTGTATTTATGTACAAGATATGTTTTGTTTATTATTATTTCAATTTGCGATGTGTAAGTACTTTTATTTTGCAAAAAGTGGCCCCAAAGGATGTTTATTATATTAAGTTCTGATTAAGGAAATGTCTCACCTTGACATCTGCAAAGGAATGTTTAATTTATTAACTCCCCATTTTTTTTTAAACAATAATATTTTAGTAATTTATGATGTTGTCTTTGTTTTTAAAGTTTTATTTGCCATAAAAAGTATATAACATTCCCTTGTATCGATTTATATTTTTACCTGGATGAGTCATTATTTACAATTAACTTTATTTATATGACTTGTTTTTTTCCAGATGTTATCCTAAACAAAATTCTTATCACCTAATAGTACTTTAAATTCATTATGATAGTTAATAATGATGAAACTTACAGTTATAAAGTTGTAAACCAAATCCGCCTACAAATTAATCTTAAATCTACCAGGTTTATTTTATCTAAATGTTCAATCTAGATTATATTCATTATATTACAAAATTGCTGAAGAAAATAATTTAATCAAAGTTTAAATATTAGACACTTTTCAACATGTATTTCCTAATGATATATTTCAAGAGTTACTTGTGCATTAAATGTTGCAATCATAAACTTTTTCATTAATGTGTAAAAATCGAATTTTAAATGGTTAAGTAATTCGCGTTGTAATTATTCATATTAATATTTAATGGGTAAACATAAAATTAAAAGGTTTTCTAAAGTAAATCTTGGAAACATGTTAAATGGCTGTTAAATTGTTAATTTGCTGTTGAGTTAAAATTAATTAGAATTAGTGACAGTTTTTCTTTCTTTTCTACAAAGTTATCTTTGCTAAAATATTTCTTAATATTCTTGTATTAATTCTTTTATATCGGTCTGGCTTTTATTTAATTACTTTTTAAAATTTATTAACAAACCTATAGTAAGTTATAATAACTATAGTAAGTTTTATAATATTCTAAATAATGGCTGTAGTTTTAAAACGTCTTTTCTATCTTCAACCTCCATGTGCCCAAAAATCTAATTGGTTGGAATAATGAAAAGGGGCCCTAATGGGGAAAATTACTTCTATTTTTTGAAACATCACTAATTCATACGTCAATCAGTAAATAAATGTAACGAAAGTATGTATGAAGCTGATATTAATAATTAATATGACTTACAAGTATATTAATTATTCTGTATATGAATGTCAGAAGAAAGAAAGAACGAAAAAGGAATAGAAGAAAAAAGAACATATACACCCAAAATGTTTACTGTTTAAAACCCAAAAGAAAAAGAGAAAAGTCGATGGCGGATAAAATAAGGCTCATACAATTGGAAAGATAACAAGTAACCACTAAAAAAATTTTAAACTGTTGACAAGAACAGGCATTACGTATCTCCATGAGTTACTCAATGGGTATTTATTATACTTTAAAACGTGAGTAATCTACAAGGTGGCACAAAAGTTGTTACCCAATGTTTTTTGGTTGTAAATTTTTTTTTATGAATGAAAACTTCGTTTCTGCTTTTTAATTATGTTTCTTTAATGTCTTAAATTCTTTTTATTAAGTCGAGAGAATGATATCGGTCAAGTGGCCACCGCCAGAATTGATACGAAATTGAAAAATCACGATTTCTTTATTTTAATCAAAAATCAATTGATTTTGTCAAATATCCCTCAATTTAGTTTTCGTACGTATCTTTTATTCTTTAACCTTGGTTTTGATCTTTTCACGTAAATACGAACGCATCATTCAGGGTCACTTATGAGGAAGAAAAAATAAAGTGTTTTGGAAGTCTTTCTGGATGTAGCGTAAACATATCAGTTTACTCACTGGGGGCCACAATAACTACTGAAGATGGAAATGCATTCTTATATCAAACAATAATTACATCTGGTAACACCCATACAAGTGATTACTTAACAAAAATTGCTTATGGAATAATTTCATCTTGTAAAGCGAAATATAATTGTAATGTAACGTCATTTGTAATGGATATGCTGCGAATATGACAAGTATGAGAAGACATAGATCAGAAGCTTAAGCTTTAGTGGTTCTGTTATAACTTATAGATACTTAGCTCACTTTCTAAATTTGCTATCCAAAGACCTTGAAGTTATTAAACTCAAAGAGCATGTGATCCAAATTGTGAAATATTTTAGAAACAATTACCTGTCTAGATCTAAGTATATGGCTTGATATACTGATGGAAAAGTTTTAAACGATGTGAGGTGGATTGTCTGCTAATAGGAAAAATTGTCAAAATTTGCAGAAAATAAATAGGAAATTGATCCTGCAATATATACCAAAATATACCAAATAATGTACCAATAGAAATTATCAGAAATTTTACATGCAGGCACTTACGCCTTTCCATTTAATTATATTTATTTTAGATGTAAGCAAAACAAAATATAAATTGACGATGGAAGAGAAAGACGAAGCTATGAACACACTTCGAGATACGTCCGCTAATACTGGATTACTACTACTACTAATAGTTAAGCTAGAGGCGAAAATGGAACCATTTTCTGCGAAGAAGTTATATCCATTGCTTTTGCTTTGCAGTGGTGGATTTAACAAAAGAACCTTCCTGATGTTGAGAAACTTTTTCCAACTTTCAAACAATTTTGGTGTTGTTTGTTCTTCAGCTTTAATAGAGAGGGGTTTTCACAACACTCCAATGTATGCCACAAATGAGGAGTGGAAAAAGCCAGAAAATTAGTGTTTTTATATAAACTTTATAATTCCTGAGTATTGTTTTCTTTTTGTTTGTCTTAGTTTTTAGTTGCCTAGTTTACCAGCTTTTATATAAAAGTTTTGATTTAAATTATTGATGAATATAAAAAAATAATGGCATTTTCCATCACTCTTGACAGAACTTGCGACGATAGGTTCTAGCATTCTTGACGGATATTCTCTTTGAGGTCTTCGAGAGTCTGAGGTTTGTTAACATAGACTTGTGACTTCAAAAAACCCCACAAAAAAGAAGTCTCCAACGGTTAAATCGGGCGATCTTGCCGGCCAGTATAAATCGCTGTAAAAATTGATCACCAACGAAAGATAAGGCGACCCGGAAATGCAGTCCTCAGAATTTCGGTTGTGGTTCGTGCAGTATGCGCCGTTGTTCCATCCTGTTGGAGCCACATGTTCACTAGTCCCAATTTATCCAATTGAGGAAGGAGAAAGTCTGGCTCTGTAGAGCTTCTCGTCTTCTGCGACATTTTCAGCCACACCCGCGATATTCTCAACAGAATGGCTACTCTGGAACCGGCTATACGCTGTTTACTCTACAAATGTCAAAGCAGAATTGACATTTGCCGCCATTTGCAAAATTATTATCGTAAGATGCTATTACGATAGGAAAGGAAAATTCAAGTAGTCAGTATGAGAAGAGATTTGTGTCTCTCCTGGTCAACATGCTGATTGATTGTGATATGGTATAACATGGCCATATTTTCTAAAGTCGAAAATAAAACTGCAAATGTTCTTTAATTTTTATATGTATTTATGTAGAAAAAAGAGTTACTTATATCCCCGAAATCAGTATATTGGTCTCAAAGCCCATGTCAGCTCAATAAGTTATCTAATATTTGGACGCGACTCAGAGCTGTGTTCCTAATGCCATTTGTACTCATCTATTCATCTTCAAAGACAACAAGGTGTGTTTCACTGTCTCCTTGTCCGTGCCCAAAACAGGAAAAGAAGGTTCAGGGCAATTTTTATGTTATGGACATGTTTATTTACCTTATACCTGCAACGAGTCCCGTGATAACGTCTCAATTCAAGGTTGGCTAATCCACCAGACTTTCAATAGATAAGGTGAAAGGTCGTCTTCCCAGTGTATCTGTGTCTTTCCTACAGGTTTCCTGCTCTACAACCGTGTATTGAGTACTTTTGTTGAATGTCTTCCTTCCCAATTCTCACAATATATCCTGCCCACTTCAGGTTTTGTATTCTGATGACTTCCCACAAGGTGACATCTTGGAAAAGCTGATATATCTCGCTGTTGTATCTCATCTGCCGCACGCTGTGGTCCTGAACACCTTATATGCAGTACAAAGAAGGGAGATTCCACTGTAATATCTATGTAATGTAGAATGGCTTTTGATGGAGCAAAATTACTTGGTTCTTGTAGTCATCGAAAGGATACACAGACAACTGAATGATGCGACAAACTGGAAATCATTATTGAGATTCTCGTATTGTTTTGTTAATAAATCATAACAATGGATTAACTGATTATCATTCAATGATGATTGCTTTCTGCACAAACTTTGAAGGCTCGTACATTATAAATATGAAAACACCTACTTTTAGGATATTATGTGAAAAAAAAATTTCTCAGAAATGTTATATATCATAAAGAAAGCCGATCATAGGGGGCGCAATTTTTCACCTGCAATTACTTAGAAAATTGGAAGTTTGATTCTGATCTTAATTGATAATAAACCAGAACATCTTTTTCTCATTCTAAAGACCTCTATTTGTTTGATACTACATAAGGCCGATTTTTTTGCCGAGTCTTCGCCATCCGAAACAGTCCGTCTAGTGTAGATGTTGGGAAGGAAATATACAACATTTAAGTTCATGGCAAATACTACCGGGTGAAAAGACCCATTTTCACAACAATTTATACTATAGATCTGGATAAATTCAGTGATATTTATAGTTATCTTGCCTCTACTATAAATTGAATCTCCGCAGACTACTTTAGCTCGCGGAGGGTCAGAGGACGCTCGTAAATCGTCTATGTCAAAGTTAGATAGAAACCTGTCAAAACTTGAATTGAAATTTTATGAATCCAATAATGAGTTTTAATACAGTTAACGCTTATTTTGTTTATGATAGATATCACCTTTATTGATGTTAATATGTTGTGTGCAGTTAATATGAATTAATTTAATTATTTGTATTACATCTTTCATATGCTACTTTTTAAAACATTTTTAAAACTAACCAGAAAGTAGTGTTTCAATTAGTTTTACAACGAGGATTTCCAAGTGCTCTTATCGATTTAATTAACGTGTTTGTGGAAAACAACATGTAATTATGTATAAATAAAGAAGAATTTATGAGTATAGTATAGCATAAATGAAAAAAGTCGTTAGTGACGATAATAACGCCATTTTTAAGTTGATTTGTAATACGTATTGTAGACCTTATAAAGATACAATAAGTAAGTTACTCATGAATATTATCCATAAAGATTTATAAATACAGCTTTTACATATTGACGTAAATTAGATAGAAACGTTAATATTTTAAACATTTATTACGTAATAGTTTCTTGGAATTAGGTGTTTAGAATGAAAGAAAAAAAAGGTGTAGCTTTATGACTCATTGCCAATTAAAACCTCATCGATTTTTGTTTCACCAATCATTTTGTTGGAATTACATTAAAATCGAACAATCTTTAGTTAACTTGATCATAAAGAAAGTGACCCATATACGTTATAAATTGATGTTATGGAAATGAATAATTTTTAAAATCATTAAGCAAGTAAATTATTCAACAAAAATTTCTCTTTAATCAATCATTTTTTTGCGTTTGTGAAGTAACCGTTTATTCTTGTATATAATTACGATTAATTGTTATTTTATATTTTCTTAATAATTGTTTTGTTTAGGCAAATCTAATGATTTAACCAGATGAGTGAACTAACGGTGGCAGTCATGCCAGGGGAAAAGCGGCTTCGGCAGCTCGAGGCCCTATTCCTGGGTGGGCCCGTGCAAGGCAGGGGGCAAAGTCTCAGCATTGAAACCCTGATCGATGTTCTACTAGTTTTGTACGATGAATGTTGTAATTCGAGCCTGCGAAGAGAAAAGACAGTTTCAGATTTTATCGAATTTGGTAAAAATTAAAACTAACATTAACACAAATTTCATTATTTATAACGATTTGTTCTTTTTTAATAGTTAAACCAGTTGCAACGTGTATTAAATCGTTGCGATTGATCAGAGAGGATTTCGACATAATTAAAGTTATTGGGCGTGGTGCGTTTGGAGAAGTATGCGTAGTTAAAATGAGGGGATCCGATAAGGTGAGTATAGTTTTAAAAAAATAAAATTACTTTTTTCCGCCTATGATGATAAAGCTGAAATGAGTGGTTATAAGTAAGACTCAACTAATATCTTAAAATAAATTCCCTTGTAATCTTGGTGTTTAACGTTTTAAAATTGATCACTGTAAAAGCAAGGGTAGATGTTACCATAAAGTTTCTGCGGAATAAATGTTTTTGAGTTTTATACATTTGTTATCAAACTTATGGAACAACATTCGAAAAAAAAACAAAGATGTTAGTTACTTTTACCATATAAGTGATATTTCTTTAGTAATCTGAGGCAATTTTTAAATTAATTATTAAATTAATTAAATACTATTTAGATGTTGACTTATTTCAACTTATTTAATTTTTTTATTATAGGTGTTTGCAATGAAAATATTAAATAAATGGGAAATGTTGAAAAGAGCAGAAACTGCGTGTTTTCAAGAAGAACGAGACGTGTTAGTTTATGGTGATCGAAGGTGGATAACTCACTTGCATTATGCGTTTCAAGTAAAATATAACTATTTTATTAGTGATCTAAATAATTAATCAACTTTTCTTGTTTAGGATGACTCTAATTTATATTTAGTTATGGATTATTATTGCGGAGGAGATTTATTAACTTTATTGAGCAAATTCGAAGATAGGCTTCCAGAAGATATGGCGCGATTCTATATCGCCGAAATGGTTCTCGCCATTGATTCAATTCACAATTTAGGATATGTACATAGGTAAAAATAATATTTTAGAATTTATTGCTTATACAAATTTACAAATATCAGTCAACAGTTGGACATGAGAAGACTAGAGTGTTTTTATGAATTATAAATTATTTTAAATTTGAAAGAAATTTATAAAAATCTATATTATCCGACAAGTTGTATTAAACTTCACAAAATTGCCACTGAATTCATTTATAATCCCGCTGAATTATAAATGTGTGTGTGACAAAGATATGGCACAGAACATACAACAAATGATCTGTAATCTATCTATCTGTCATACTACGCATTTATTTTTAGTGATGACCATCATGTTGGTTTAATCTGTTTAATTAAAAACATTAATTTATGTTTATTATAGTTTCTGTTTAAACAAAGTTTGTATAAAAATATAATTTGATATGGTAATATGTTTTGTCACTACACAAGGCAACTAAAGTTTTAGGTCGTATGCAAATCAGCTACCTTGTCTAAGCAAGAATGAACTAGTTCATTATGAATGTATTAACACAGAACTAATATTAAACAGCACTGAAATTATTCTTCACAAATATCGTATAGAATTAGAATATTTTTTTTGGATAATAGATAAAATATTAATAGAAATATAAGTAATCGACTTTGTAAAACCTGTGTAAACATGATGGAACAGAGATGTTGGAGCAGTTACTTCATAATGTCGATTCACCAGAAAATGAATTACTCATGACTGTTATAATTTATAATATACGCCACTTTGTTAAAACATTGTAAAATCTTTATTCAGAGTATTTCTTATTTAATGTCATAATTAACTGTTGATTTCTCTTTATTTACTATGCCAGATAATTTACAATGTTTTTTCTATATACTTAATGAATCATTAAATGCAATTTATTTTTGATAGCGGTAATTGCGTTATCATAACGGAAATGTTTTTATCTTAGCCTTGAAGCTCCAAGTTAATTACTGATATTAATATATGTTAAGCTACAGAGCTAATCTTGTTTTTTAGTATGTCTAGTGTTTTTTGTAAAACAATATGCGATTGCCATCTGAACATAGAAGAAGAATCTGAAGCAGTTGTACTTTAAAGACTTTACTTTGTAGGTGTTGGACATGTATGTTATTGCACATATTAAGGACGTTTTTTATGATCATAAGATAATGTCCCATTAAGGAATAGATACAATTAGATGAGCAAAAATACATAAGTGCATTTCATTTTTCATTTTTTTTTTCATTATGATGCAATTAATTTCAAACATTGAGTTCATTCAAACATATACTGATTCTTTCAAATATACATTCACAATCTGCAAAACTTCAAAATGGACGGAAAATGGAAATCGCAGTAGGGCACGTTATGGCGTGAGTTGCTGCGCTGTGGACATTCTAGCATTCGTTACATCGGTTAGAATTAACTAGGAGTACATTTTAATTGTTCGTAACAATTATATCTTCTATCTATGAGGATCTAACAAATTAGAAGAAAATTAACAAAAAATTTCTGTTTTAAGAAAGTTTTGATGAATCATTCAACAAAAATGTACTTTTTTAAAATGATTTATACAATCTTTTAGATTCAAATAGAAAATGACAATACAATTTATATGTGTACCAAAGTTCAGGAAGATTGGTAGAGTAATTTTTGAGGCATTGTGTCCAAGAGTTGTAAAAATGTAGTTGTAAGAAAATCGTCTTTAATTTTCGAATAATATACTCTGATTCTTTCTAATTTCAATGTATCGACTAATCTACAATTCCAGGACCATATATTTCATGGATAGTGACTCGTTGTGTGGCGTCTGTCAAATAACTCGTCTATTTTTCTCCATATTTTTAGCTTCCTTACCAATAAAAGTATTTATTGAATTCATTATTTTTGAAAAGTCACTAAGTGTCATTCATTAAACAGACTAGCCGCAATATAACGAGAAATTCCGACTATTTTCAAGTTGTATATGATTCCCAAACAGCTGAGCTGTACATTGTCTTCATAAATTGTACATATATGTTTTTATATGTATCAGTGAAGTGGTAGAGGATGCTTCACTAAATGGTTTGATGCAGTTGGTTTTCTTGGACCACGCTCCTTAAGTAGTGCTGATTCATCAGCATTGTATATCTGGTTAGGTAATAGCTTAAGCTCGTTCTTTTTTCCATAAAATTTTTCAGAAAAGGCTGAACCGCTGTAGGATCGCTTGACAGCTTTTCCTCACTATCCTTTTAATCTGCGAATGCCATACCTTTCTTTAAATCGGTTAAGCCATCTCTTCTTTGCAATAAACTTGTTATCATTGTAATGTTTGGCATAAATTTGTATAGCTTTTTCCCTCAGAACAGTGGTGGTTACGTTCACGTGTCTTTCTCTTTATGATAAGAACCATAAACTTAATAAACTTCTGTTTCCGTTAGGGAGTAATCGGAATTGCGCAATTTACGTTTTGGTGTCAAAATAGAAAGCCTTAAAAATAGTATCTTTGCGAAATGTAATTGCGATAATAACTAAAATCTGTTAATGAACAAATAAACTACATACCCCATTATTTTATCCTTATTGCTCATAATGTTCGATTACAGGACCCCTAAGCCATTTAGATTACAAGATACCCAATGTTAAAAGGCAATATTTCAATGTTGTTCGCATTACAAGAAAATTTGAATTATTGACGGTTCGGATTTATTGGGAATAGTTAATATATTAATAATTTTCGGCCAACCAACAACAACTTGGCCTCCAAAGCCACAGTATACAATATAGAAATTTGAATTCAATATTTTCTAAAGTTATGATCAAAAGATTTTAGGTTTATTGTGAAATCGGTATATACTGTTGTCATCATGTGGATTCAACAGAATTTGTTCTTAGTATCTCCTGCACAAGTTAGGATAGAAAGTTTAAAGTTTTCGGCTTTTCTCAGTTTGAGTTATTTACACTTAAATCAATTATGTAATTATCTTTCATCAGAAAATTCTTAAGGAGCAGTTACATTTCTGATACATAAGCCAAGAAGTTCTTTGATATTGAATGTAGAATATGCAAGCATAATATAAATAATGTATATAAATCTGGTGTAATAGTAAATCTAAAACTGCAGTAAAAATTTTAGATCAAATTCTTATTTAGCTTATTTTTTTCACAAAATGGCAAATATCAAATAGAATAGCAAAAAGAATTGCAAATACAATTGTTTAATATTCGTCTTGAATCACACATGCACTATATATTAAAAGCATGACTTAATTTTCTGCTTCTTGAGAAATTGTTTAAGTTAGTATTAAAATAAACTGTATTATGCTGGTTTAAAAAAATTCCCTTGAAATCATTGAACTTTTTTTTAAATGATATCATTTTCCCCGGTTATAATTTTATGACAATTTATACAAAAAACTGAACTGAGATTTGTAATCACCTTTATCTGCTCATGTCCAAAACTATAAAATGCCAATGATGAAAATTGTAAATGATCAAGTGTAAGTAAACTGAATTATCCTTTGTAAATCTTGGTGATTAATTATTTTAAAATTATTTACTGTAAAAACAAAGGTATAAAAGCCACCAATTTTTCGATTTTATATTTTTGCATATGGTTTTCAAGTTTTAACCTATGTTTTTGAGCAAAATTGGAACATTTTTAGATCATATTTCAGGTTACTTACATTCACAGTGATATATTTTTAGTAATTTGAGGCATTACTTATTTTAAATATCTATAAGAATGAATTTAATAAATTTTGGTTTGTACTTACATTTTATTGTATGTTACAGAGACATAAAACCAGACAATGTTTTATTAGATGCTAATGGTCATATAAGATTAGCGGATTTTGGAAGTTGTTTGAAGCTAAATGAAGATAGCACTGTACAGTCGAATGTTGCTGTTGGTACACCAGATTATATTTCACCTGAAATTTTAAGGGTAAATAATATCTTTTTTAAATATTAAATCAAATTTTTAATGTAACCAATTTTTTATTATAGGCAATGGAAGATGGACAAGGAAGGTATGGTCCAGAATGTGATTGGTGGTCATTAGGTATGTAAAATTTAGGACTCAGGGCCGGATCAATCTATCACCTATTTTGGTTGTTGTATGTGGTCTATAATGAACTATTGCGTATTTTAGAATATTCTTTGTGGAGTCTTCAGTTCATAAGAATTTTTCGCGCAAAATTTTATAGCTCACACGAACGACTGCTCTAAGATATTATGATTAATACATTGAATTTAAACATCTCAGCGCTATTTTACCTACCCTTTTTAAATTTACCCAACACATAAATCCAGTTCTTAGCCAATGAAAGCACATATTAAACATGTATTAATTGTAGATTTGGTTGATAATGATTAAGTAGTAAAATAAAACAAAAAATCATTGAAAAGGGGTGCCTCTTAGGCTTCATGATTAATCTGGCCCTGTTAACATACATTTTGTGTGATTACTAACCTTACATTTTTTTAAAAACAAATTAGGTGTGTGCATGTACGAAATGTTATATGGCGAAACGCCCTTCTACGCGGAAAGCCTGGTGGAAACGTATGGAAAAATTATGAATCATAAAAACTACTTTGATTTTCCAACGGATATTGAAGTAACCGATAGTGCAAAAGACCTTATTCGAAAATTAATTTGTACCCAAGATTTTCGATTAGGTCAAAACGGAATAGAAGACTTCAAAGTTGGTTAAAACACTTTTTTTCTGACTGTTATTTTAATTGTGATTCTGTTTATTCTAGAAACATTCTTGGTTTGAAGGCGTTGATTGGGACGGAATTCGCGATAGTAACGCGCCATATATACCAGAAGTATCCAGTCCAACTGATACTTCAAATTTTGATGTTGATGACGCTGATATACGAACCTCAGATGCTGTACCTCCAACAACAAATTCTGCGTTTACTGGACTGCATTTGCCATTTATTGGATTCACATTTATGCAAGGATGGTAAATAAAAATAAATTTATAAGTATTATATTCTAAATATTGAATTTTTTTAGTTTAACTTCTGATTTGGGAATGATTGTACCATCAAATAAGACATCATTGGATAAACAAAACATGAAAAATAGCGGTGATATTAGAGCATTATCATTTACATCAGAAAAAGAAATAGAAAAGCGAATGTCCCCGGATGGAACGCGAAAGTTACAAGATGAAATCAATGTGCTTACAAAACGAAATTGTGAATTAGAATCTCAATTAAGAAGTTTAGAATCGACGAGCCAACAAAATAAAGATATACACATTGATTCCTTGGATGGAAGTGAGACTTGTAAGTTAAAAACATTTTTTGGTTATACATATTTTTAATTTAATTATTTTAATCTATCTTTAATTATTTCATAGTATTGAAATTAAAAGACATGGAAAAAACAATACGGATTTTAAAACAAGAAAAAGATGAAGTGTGTAAAGACAAGATGGATCTTCAAGAAAAATTAAAATTACAAGATAAAGAATTAAAAGACGCGGTTGCACAGAAAAAACTTGCAATGACTGAGTATACGGAAGTTAGTGATAAATTATCAGAGCTTAGACAGCAAAAACAGAAGATGTCGCGACAAGTACGGGATAAGGAGGAAGAATTGGAGACGGTAATGCAAAAAGTTGATGCATTAAGACACGATATTAGGCGGGCGGAAAAATTACGAAGAGAATTAGAATCGAGGGTAGAAGACGCACTGGCAGAAGCAACAAAAGAACGGAAATTAAGGGAGAGGTCTGAGGAATATTGTAGGCAAATGCAAGCTGAATCTGATCGGTTACGAGTTCGAAACGAACTTGGACCAAGGGACCAACAAGATGCTTTGAGACTTAAGGCGGAACTGGAGAAATTAGAGGTAACAAGTTTAAATTATTATTAATATTCTCTAAATACTAGTTTGAGTCGTACTTTTATTTATAGAACTATTACAAATTTTTGATTGTTACAGTGAAGTGATACCTGGTTTAATTTTTGATTGGTAAAAGAAACGCCAAAATTTTTGTCTTGATTTTTTATGTAACATGCAAATAAAATTATACAAGTTAAAACGGCCAGTCTTCTTTTACTTAAATTTTAAACTATTTAATTACAATTAATTTGTAATTTTTCATTTTGGGTGTATTAATTTTTTTTAGGTTCAGTACAATGAAAGTCTCACTCAACAACAAACAAGGTACAATATGGAGATGTCATCATTACGTGAACAACTTCAAGAAGCGGAAAACCACCGTGATCTTTTAGAACGTGAGGTAACTAAAATTTTTACTTGTTTCATATTTAGTACCATTTCTGTAGTAAAAGATTCATTAGAATTTATGATTTTTAGTGTTTTTTGTTATTTTTATTTTCATTTTTAAAATTAAGGTGCAATTGCTAAAAGAAAAACAAGAAAAATGTAGGCTAGAAACGATCACGGATGCCGAACAAATGATAGACGAAGTGAATCATAGGCATGAACGCGAGAAACAGCTATTACGAGAGGAAAACGTTAAGCTATCATCAGATGTAGAATTTGTGAGTTTTTGTCGTCTTCAACGTTTTGTCTTAAGCGTTTGTGCTTTAACCGATCGTTCTAAACGTTTGTGTTAAACGTCTTATTTTATTTCCTTGTTAACACAAATCCTCACACAGCTTTTTGTGATTATATAAATCGCTTCGAAATAATATTCATTACTTTTCTTTTAATTAGTTTATTTTTTATTCTTAAGCTTTCCGAAACTATGGAACGGTTACAAAACGAACGAAGGACAATAGAAGCGGAGTACGATCAACTCCGTGGCAAACAGGAAACGTTGGGCCAATGGGAATCGCAACTTTCCGAAATTATACAATGGGTTAGCGATGAAAAAGACGCTAGATCCTATTTACAAGCATTAGCAACGAAAATGACGGAAGAATTAGAATATTTGAAACATACAGGTGCGTAGTTTGAAAACTATGAATAAATAAATATAATATAAATAATTTTTGGTTTGAAGGTGTTTCAAATGCTGTTGGCGCGGGAGATAAGAATTGGAGAAATAGAAGATCGCAGAAATTGGATAAAATGGAGCTTTTGAATTTGCAAAGTTCGTTGCAATCAGAGATTCAAGCCAAGCAAGCAATTAGTGAAGATTTGAGTAAAACAAGGACTGAATTACTCGCAGCGCAGAAGTAAGTTTTGTTAAAGATTTTGTTTATACAGGAAATCTATATTTGAAATATGAATAAAGATCTTTTGCCATGAGTAACTATATTACGTTTTAAGCACTCTCATTGGCTAAAAACTGAATTTATCTATGTACTTATAACAAACATTGTAGCAGTTGCAATGAAGAGTTTAAGCTTTCTTCATTGCATCTGCTACATCGTTGATCAAGTCCAGAAACAGCTTTGATTGATACTTTCCTAAGACTCAATCTTACGCAGTGAAAAAACAACTTAGACAATTCAGGTGGTTGTAAAATTTGGTAATTAACATGATGTTGTATTAAATAATACTGATGTGGTACTGATAGTAATAGGAAAAATAATTTACATAATTATAAAGATTATTAATAACAATGCCACTAGAATAGACTGTTTGCTCATTTCAAAGATATAAATATTAAAAAAAAACGATATTTTCTCCAGTGGGTTCTGTACCGCGCCTTCCAGGGAATGTTATAACTCTTGGGATGTAGAGTGGTTTTTAGCCAATCGACCGTCGTTCGTCTAATTGTCACAGAATCGCTTCCGCGGCTTCTTTATCAAATAGGTGGGTAGGGTAATTTGTATGGGTTTTCTTTATCATATGAGTGCTATGTGTCATGATTTATTAAATTATTAAGTTTGTTACATTATCTGGTGTTTAAAGTACTTATGTTCGTGACGCATTTCGAAGTGGTTTTCAGAACTACAAATCATTGATGTCTTGGTTTCAAATAATCTCGCCACCATTTTACTGAGGTAAAATCTCGACCTTCTTTGTCTTTGGGTAATCTTCTGATAGTGAAGACAGGTTTTTCAGACATTCCTTTTTCTCAGCTTTAACTTGTAGCATGAAAATACCCGTTATATTACTACTAAGAGACTTCACGAAGTTTTGCATTGTCCTCTAATTACAAAACCAGTTATTTTCGAGGCATTTCCAGCAAATTCTTCATCTATTGTAATTTTCAAATGATTACGTTTGTTATGTGATACAAAATTCTTCAGCTTGACACAAAATTCTAAATTTTTCTTCTGGTTAGTCTATTTTAGTCCCTATCTTTTTTATTGCTTCCTTATTAAAAAAGAACTTTAAATATAACATTCCTTTAAAAATGAAAGCAGTAATAAAAATGTTAAGCAAATTTTTGTAAGTAATGTTAAAATAACTGTTTTAGTAATATTACATTTAAATGAAAGAGCGATTAGATATAGAGTAATTTGAGATATTTTTGTGTAAGGGAGCCACTGTACGTCAATGTGTAGGTTTTTCGGAAATATCACATATAAATTGGTTTAAATAGTGGATAAAATGGCTTTACCAAGATACTTTAGATGCTTTACTTAAGATATTTCTTTACCATCAATCTTACATAAAGCAATTATTGGAAACCCATAGGAAGCCCCATCAATAATTTGTGCATATATTAATTTGTTATAAAAGAGGTTGTTTATTATAACAGGTTTATGCAGCAAAATTGATTTTCCATTGGCATAATTTGTTTGTTGTACTTTTAATTTGTTTGCGACTGTGTTTTGGAGAGTTCTGTAATGTTTTGCCGCTTCTGTAACCCAATTTTTCTGTTAGAAAAACGCTAATGAGCAGTTACTAAAGTAATAACACCCTATTTATCAAAATGTCCAACAAAATTAGTCAAAATTACAGGATTTTAGAGAAGCAATGACGCAAAGTTTTCCCAATTTTGAGATAAACAAAATCAGACAAAACGACTGCAATCAAAAACTTAGGAATGTAATAATCAACTCACCACAAACGTTTTGAGATATGCGTTCCGGACGAGACTCTATAGTATATTAAAAAACGGACAAAACAGCACAAAAATTATATAATTTTTACAGTCACCTGATAAGCAACATGTAAGCGAACACGTTTCTAGTCTTTTCAAGTGCTATCTTGTGAAATTTTAAAGCTTTTGCTCCAAAATAAGCTGTGGCACACACAATTCGACAATTAATATTACATTATATTATATTACATGTTTTATATACACAACGTAGTTACTTCTGTTTCAAACATACAATTACTGTTAGCTATTGTTCACGCTATCAAAGCACGTGCTGCTGTGTGGTATACCCCGACAATTACTAAATCGTATTCACTTGATTGCAATTTTTAGTAATTTTCGTATCCTTGAACCACAAAAAAATGATTAGCCAGAAATAACACTTTGTGTGACGTGACTCATCTGTCTGAACGCGTTTCAGTACTATTGATAGACAGCAAACTTAAAATATTTTCCAGATAAATTTTAAAAACTCTTATATGGAACCTATTGTTGGCAGATTGTCTTAATTCACTCCGTATCATTTGATCCTTATCTAAAAATCATTTGTAAAACAATTATAATACTCATATTTTTGTACAAAAAAGTTTTATAAAATATCGATTCCTAGTTAGTTTGTTTCCTTCTTTATAAGAAGTTTGACTTTATGGCAGTAGACTAAACTCTTGAGGTTTCATACATGGAAGACGAGTTCTAAAGAAATCATTCAGTTTGAAGGCAGACATTCTTTTGGGTACTTTTACATATCTTTTCTTGGTTAGATTAATCAAATAACTTTTCCTTTATAATAAAATATATTTCTTACGTTTTTCCTTTCGTTTTGTTGTAAAATTTTTAGTATAGACTGATTTGACCAGATCATTCTTTTGTGATAATAGTTATATACTCCTTTGAAATTGTTGTGATGAGACTTTGAATTCATTATCGCTTTTTTAATCCGTTATTATGTTGAAGACGTTGAATGGGTTGAGCAGAATTTTAGGTATTTTGGAGAAGTAAATGTTTTACTATAAGAAATCTTTCGTCGAAATGGGGTGCTCTTTCAATAGCAACCAAGGATTTTTGTCATTTTTCTTTCTTCAACCTTTTCAATCGACAATTACTAAAATTTCGAAGTTGTCGTTTCGTCAATATATTCAAAACTTTAATATTTTCTTAATTGAAAAAAAATTTCTGAAATATTTTATACATGGCATTAAATTAAAAGATAAAGCCCCGATTACTTTATCAAAAATTGACCAGAATCTAAATTTTTATCATATATATTTGATACAAGTAAACCTGACTCATTTCAAATTAATCATGTGGAATGCAAAATTGTGTAAACAATCAACTAACAATACATAGATAAATACAATCGCTCTTTGCCGTTATAAATGTTTTGCAACACCTTTAGGCATCACTTAAATTATTACCACCGTATTGAAAACATCTAATTAATGTTTTTGTTTTATTTTTTAATAACAAATTTATAGAGAACTACGTGAACAAAAACAACGATTTGATGCCTTAGCAGTGGACTCAAAACGAAAAGAGAAACACATCAAGGAACTACAAAACAGATTGGATTCTGGGGAAGGCTGTAAGTATTTAAAAAGAATTTACACAACGCTACTATTTTAAAGAGAGAGAGAAAGCTTTTTTTCACGATTAGGATTTCGAGTGAAAAGCGTTTCGTTTATAATAGGCTTTTAGCATTAATTTGTTTACACCCGAAACATTGCGGCCCTACTTTCTCTAAATACATTTCGAGACGTGGATTTTAATTCTAAAAGTACGGCCGCGGTGTATATTAGCACTCCCAGGCGAATAGTAACAGTGTGTATGTGTATATTATTTAGTCGGTACATGGTTGCGACAGCTGCCTTTGGTCATCGGAGTTACATCCTGCTTCTGGGGGATTATGTTACTGCTATTGCGACTGTACAATTAGAAACTGTACGATATACACGCAGGTCCTAAAGGCATACAGGCTGACTATTTTCAGTGTATTTCGCATAAAAAACAATTCAAAATATCTTTTTTATGTTTGTTGGGTTGAACGATGGGATGCAGAAAAGACATATAATAAAAAAAAAAATAATTTAAAAGTAGTGTGCTAAATGAGTTTTATGTAGAAACGATTATTTAAAATGAAATGAATGATTTAATCATTTAGTATAAATTAATTTATACTAATACTTTTTTTCTTACATAAATACATTAATAGACCTATTATTTCGCACACCACTGTATCTCATAATTACGTATCTTATATTTCCACATGGCGCTACATAAAATGTCAAAGAAGTTATATCGAAAACTAACTACCATTTCTTGCAATGGGGAGATGATTTCGTATAATGTTTAATATGTTAAGCACTTAAATGCAAAGAACCGTCACATTTCCTGTATAATCCAGACTCTTCATGAAATAACCAATTTCATTACAAGACTGTGATATTAATGATATAAAAATTAGCTGCGCATAACCTGGGATGCGGACATTACTGGTAATCTAGTGCAGAAATTGATTAAACTGTGTGTCAAGGAACTCTAAAGTCTTGAACGTGAATGTAGAATAAAAGTCATGCCTTTTATTTTTTACTAATTAAAACTAATTACTGAAAATGATCAATGCGCATTAAATAAATTTTAGTCAACATTTTTATACAAAAGTCTTTAAAATGTAAAGATGTTTTATACATTCATTTCATTTATAAAGAATGATTTTTGCATAGAATCTTCGTTAAACACACTTCTTTTGAATGTAGCGGGTTATTATTTATTATTTTATTATACTATCGTTATTTAAGCTTTTGCTTCTTAATTATAAAATATAGCATATATTAATATTGGATTTTGATTATTTAAAAAGGCAATCTGCAAAATTGCCACCTGGAAATTTCAAATTTCCTCATAATAACAAAAACGTGATTCAAATCGAAATTGATTTTTACAGATTGTTTACATTTAATATTTTAATTTTATTTCGCATTTTTAGCATTTATTTATTTTTTTAATTCCAAAGAATAATTCTTGCCGTTAAACCCAACAAAAAGATTTAAAAAATCGAAATACGCGAATGTTACATTTTTTTTTAGTTATAATTTTTTAGCTGTATGTTTTTACCAAGTACAAAGGGTAATTTTTTTTAGTTTAATAGCAACGTTTATACCTGCTTTTTGTTTTGTTTTTTAATTTTATTTACTGTTATTACGCTGAGAATTAAACAAATTCAATAAAGATAAGATAAAAAGAAAGGAACAAATTTAGAGTTTATTCAAATTAACGTTACAATTTGGGACCTATGTGTGGTACAAACAAGTAACTCTGTAAATACACTGTTACATGCAGCAAGTTCCGGAATTTCTTCATTCCTACGAAGATCTGTTAAGGGTTCGTTTACCAATTGTATTTTGTTTTTTTTTCTCTTTTATATTTTTTGTAATACAATTTAGAGCCTGTAATGTTTTTATTTTGTATTTATTTATTTTGATTTATTTAATTGCTTGGTTTTGTTCTATTTGCATTTTATAGCTTGGAGTGCTAATATTTTACACTGTATACAACAATTAAACGTGTTGATTTTTCTTTAAATAGGATTTTTGCTAACTAATTTTTTAAATTTATGTGACGTTTGCTGTAAATTTTTTGAAGATTTGATTATGACCAAATCTAAAAAGCAAAGAAGTAACTCAAAAAGTAATTATTGTATTATTATTATTTATAATTTTACTGTTCATTTTGAATTATGAGTCATATTTTTATTAAGATGCCAGAGCGACGTTTGGAAAGAAAAAATTAAATTTTTTGCATGTAAATCAAGTATTAAATAAAAAGAAGACTTTATTATATATATTTTATCTTATCTCAATAATCTAAATTAAATTTTTGAATATAAGCTTGTTCTATTTAATTAATTATGTTAATTAATAATATTTAAAGAATGTTGTTTCCAGTCTTTTGCTTTTAGTTTGTTTTTGTAACGACACAACAGTAAAAATAGTCGTTAAAAAGTTAAAATATTCTTGTTGATTTAGTTTTAGAACGTCCGCCTTCTCAGATGTCTTATTTGGAACAATTTTTAAAAGAAACCACCAATCAATCCACTCAACAATCACAACAGCACAACTTGCGTCAATACGAGCAACTTACCTCTCAAGGATTGTATCAAGGGGGATCAATTGAATCTGAAGAAGGCGATATTGAAGATAACAGAGACGGAATGGCTAGTTCAAAAAGTAATTTATCTGATATTAGCATGGTAAGATTTTAATTTAGAGGGAAAACAATTTTTATGGTGTTTTAATGAATTTTCTTATTTTTTATTAGGGTCACGATCCTCATTCACCGAAACATAAATCCCATCAATTTTTGGTCAGAACATTTTCAACACCAACCAAATGTAGTCATTGTACTTCTTTGATGGTTGGTTTGATGCGTCAGGGAATGGTTTGCGAAACGTGTGGGTTTACGTGTCATACCGCGTGTTGCCCTCATGTACCTCCAATTTGTCCTGTTCCACCAGATCAAAGTACGTAAATTTAATGGGTTTATGGAGAATGGTTAAAGTTTCATTTAAGTTTTTCATTCGATTAATGTATTTATTTGGATTTATTATTAAATTTTGATGCGAATTTAATGGTTTTAATATGATATAAAGGAGGTTTTAATTTGAAGATATTTAATGGGTATAATTCAGAATTTGTATTTTTTTAATGTTTTAAACTTTGAGTTAATAAGAAAAAAAATATAAACAAAAGCAATATGAATTATTTGTAACATGAAAATGTTTGTTTTAGCTAAAAGACCATTGGGTATTGATCCAACTAGAGGTATTGGTACAGCTTATGAAGGTTATGTTAAGGTACCGAAACAAGGCGGTGTTAAAAAAGGTATGTAACAAAAAATTATGTTTAATTAAAACGCGCTACTACCACTCATAGTTAAAGTCATAGTATAAGTTAGATTTATCATATTTATTTTATAGTTATTGGTACCTGATAGATTATATTTATGTTAAATGTAACTATAGAATAAAAGCTGCTTGATTTAGTAGGTAATGGTGACTCAACCTAAATTCAATCAAACTTATTCCCTGATTTCGTTTAATACTACATTATATATAGTGATCCGAAAATTTAAACAATTTGTTGTTCTATAAAATGGTTACAGCTATTTTAGCCTGTAGCTTGTTATGTTGTGAGGATTCCCAAAAAGAATCTGTTTCGCGTGAATTACATAAGCTATGGCTGTACCCATAGGAAATAAATTTTCATATTGTTAATGCAGAAGAAGTATTACCTTATCAAATAACCATTTATCTACATAACAGTGTCATTCTGATACTCCATAATTCTTAGTTGGTTTCAACATTGCTTAGTACTTCGTTGCAGTTGAAGTTAGTGGTTTCATTAGCTAGAAACTTGATCACCAATGTAGAATTAATTAATGTGATTGTTACAGTATACCATTGCTGTTTTGACTTCCCCACTGGGAGTGCTACAGAGAGATAGTTTTTTTGAGAGTGTCTAGGTTTCTGTAAGTTGTTTCTGAGCTCCGAATCTAAATGTTATTTTATAGGATAAAATGCGAATAATGAACACTCCATTTAAAAAGAACTATTGCAATGACATATTCTTCCTCCGAACTCGACTAGAAGCAATTTGAATGAGTGAACCTAAATTTTTCACATTTTATGGCTAAAAACAAATGACAGAGTTTTCATTTTTCAGTAGGTGTTGGAAGTAATAGATCCACAATAACTTCTATGTTTTCTTTTGCACTTTGTTTCTTTGTGAGCGTCTTTCAAATCTTAATCGATTTATTCTTGGACTTTGAATAAATATTTGTCTATAATAATGTGAGCATTAATTGATTTTAATTCTAAACTGTTATTGATTATGCCAACATGCTGAAAGTTCTTCTCTAGCTGCTGTGTTTGTTGTCAAATTTAATACATAACCTTTTAATACAAACCTTTTTGCTCAATTGAAAGATACCAAACTTTAATCCATCTATGAACATACCCTGGAAATTATGGAAGTTCCTAGTGGTGAAGTTCCAGTTCTTCTTTTTACTGCCTCTGCACTTTTTTTTAAATACTTACACCACCAGCGTTTGAAATTTTTGATTTCTTCGTTTTGTAGTCGCTTCACTTGAAAACAAGGCACACATCTGGTGAAGAGATTCGGTCTAACCAGGTAATCGAAAATATTGATGTATAACTTGAAATCGGTCTGTCATAGTCAATGTTAAGAGAAACCTGGATAGAGTATGATTTCTATTTTGTCCATCGCAAGCATTAGTAACGACATGGACATGTTCAAGGTAGATGAATATTATTATTAATTATATTATTATTTTATGAATATTCATCTACCTTGTACTTGTTTGTTGTAACTTGTGTCACTTGTGTGAACTTTTTGTAACTTGTGGAGATGGTCTCAATAAAGTCCACTATAGTAGTGCAAACTTACTTTGGACTTTTCTTTGCTTCTTCATCTATATATCTATAGAAGATGTAGTTACCACAGCCATTATCTGAGATAAAACATTTCTTGTACTGGCATAAAAGATAGGGGCAAGTTCTGCATATAAACAAATATGATACCCATATGAAAAACAACGGAATATTATCGTTCATGCGCTCAAAGGCTTATTAATTTCAATGATTGGATATTAGTTTATATGAAAAGAACTAGTTATGCTATAATTAAATTTTTCGTAATTACAAAGATACATATTAGGCTTGCTACGTTGTTAGTTCTACGTTGTCACTTGAGTTCCTAGGTCGATCAGATAAAGGTTATATATTTGAATAGCTCCACACAGAGAATTGTAACTCCAACTTCATCAGAATTAACTTATTTTCCTTGATTTGTTAATTCTTCCATCTTTTTCTTTAAAACATCGCAACTATCTCGAAGAAAAGATAAAACCTCGGAAGATTTGTTATATTTTTTTCAAAATATCCTACATTATTAATTAAAAGTGAATCAGAACATAAAACGAACAAATTATATTTAAAAAATCCGCTAAACTCATATCCGTAACATCACTACTTAGTTGAGACCAACCTAAAGAGATTGGTTTCACTAGAAGGCTGTTAGTTAAAGCTAAATAATATGTACTTTAAATTCTGAGTTACAATTTGATTCATTATGGGCCACTTTTACCATCTCTTAGCCAATGAGAGCGCTTAAAATTTATCATACAGATGCTTATGAGGAAGATTGTAAAAGAGGGCCTAAGAAAATAGTTGTGAATTTTATTTATTAATGTTTAAAGTTTAATAATTTATGTGTTAAAGAATGAAAGAAGAATGACGAAAGGTTTTCTATGTATAGAAAAGATGGAACATTACTTATATTGGTCTTAATGTAACATTAATGTAACTATGGAATAATTTAAGAGATCACGATCTCCATTTGGCACACAAAATACGACATCAAGATAATATGTCTATAATTTATCTTTATAGCATGAATTTAGATCGTTCCAAGTATAAGTATTTTCAATGAAATCTAAAAATATAGCAGCAAGATGGCATACCTTTAGGAATGCCCCCTGAAATTTTATAATATTCACCATTAAAGGTACACAAATTTTGTTTAACTATGTGTTTTACAATGTTATCAAGTTATGTTAATATCCCTAAAAGTTTTTAAATTGAAGTTTAAGAGTAATGAGAATATTGGCTTATAAATTGGTGATATCAATTGAAACAAAAATCTTGATTTCAACATTAATATTACTAATAGAGATCGAAAAGTTGCAGATCGAATAGGTATTTTCAATTTGTGTAGTTTAGACAATGAAAAATGGTTGAATATAGTCGGGCTAGAAGAAATGAGAAAATACTTATTGTTAGAAATCTTTATATATATTTTATGTAATATATATTTTTTTTATTTATGTAATTACTTTTAAACGTGGTATTTTGCTTTTATACAATTAGTGCTCTTTTGATGTCTTCCAATACTTCTTGGATATATTGTTAGGTTGTAATTGAATGCTTTTTACGTTTAATTTACAATGTATTATTCTTTAGTTGTGAGTTTTTAAGTATCTCCTTTAAAAAAATTTTAATTTATACAATTAAGGCTCACTTAATTAATTTGTCAAGAGGTGGTAAAAGTGGGCCTAATTATTATTCTTTATTTGTAACTGTAAGTATTTTTGTTAGTACATCAATATTTTGTAGGATCAGTTATTTTCAATGAAATAGATAAAAATTTTGCGATTTTTGAGATCGGTAAATATTGTAAATGGAAAAAGAAAATTACTCTTATCAAGGAGTGACCCAAATAGATTCCACTCCAAGTGGACAGTATCTATTATGCGCATTTATAACTTAGCGAGGGTTAAAAATGTCACCTCAAGTTAATCCTGTTCGCTTCGTACATACATACACACTCAAATCTAATTCACTTTATATCAGTGGTTAGTATCGATGCCAACTTAAACTAAGTCCTAATAAGTTCCTTGATTGCATGCTTATTAGATGTGTGGAGGTGATAGTATATGCGACTCAGCAAACTATAACTTAAAGCCTAACTATAAATATCATTGTTTTGGTAATAACGGGTCTTGCAAAAAATTGTACATTTTCTAATTTAATGTTATTTTGTAAAAAATGTGATATTTCATTCTTCTATTAAGCTTTGTTGCATGCATTTTTTCATTGTTTGTCTCTTTGTTAGGTTGGGTTAGACAATTTGTGGTTGTATGCGACTTCAAGCTTTTCCTTTACGACATATCGGCCGATCGAAATGCCTTGCCGAGCGTGCACGTTTCGCAGGTCCTTGATATGCGGGATCCGCAGTTTAACGTCAACAGCGTCAAGGACTCGGATGTCATTCATGCCAACAAAAAGGATATTCCTTGTATTTTTAAAGTAAGAATTTTAAAAGTTTTCAAAATATACTTATTATGTAATCCGTTTTATAATTAGATTTATGTATTTAACATGTTCAGTCTCGTCATTCCTTATTTATTTTGTTTAAAATTTGGATAAATTTGGCATCCTACTAATTTATATTAAAATTTTTATGATTTTTAATCCATGATCACTCTAATTATAGTATAAGTGTATAAGAAATATATTTTTTTAAATTAATTTAGATAACAACATCGTTTTTGGAACACCCTGGTCCTAGAAACGTAACATTAATGTTGGCCGATACGGATGTAGAGAAAAATAAATGGGTCGTAGCGTTATCCGAATTACATCGAATAATGAAACGAAATAATTTACCAAAAACGACGATTTTAGTCGCTCGCGAACTCATCGATAGTTCCTTAACCCTATTAAGAAGCGCTTTAAGTGCGGCAATAATCGATCCTGATCGTATCGTTCTCGGTACAGAAGAAGGATTGTATTGTGTTGATTTAGATCGATCAGGTAATTTCTAAAACTCCTCAAAATAAATAAATTTAAAGCATTTATGTTCTTTCAGAAATTGGTCGCGTCGGAGAAAGCAAAAAAATATTTCAACTTGATTACATAAGCGAAGAACATCTTTTGGTAGTCGTTTGTGGTAAACAACGACAGGTTCGTTTGGTTCCAATAAGAGCATTAGATGGTGATGACACAGAATGGATTAAAGTAGCCGAGAGTAAGGGTTGTTCTGTGTTAACAGTAGGACCGGTTTTAAGAGCACCGTTAACGTTTTATTTGTGCGTTGCTGTTAAAAAACAACAAAATCTGACTACTGTTATGGTTTATGAAATTACGCGAACTAAAACTAGGCATAATCGACTTAGAGATTTACAAATGTACGTACCAGTCCATTCTATGCAATTACTTTCTGATGGAAGATTATGTGTTGGATCGCCATCATCGTTTATGGTGTATAGTTTACGTGATGATCAGCCACCAATATGTAAGTATAAATTTTATTTGGCCTAAAAAAATTGAATGACAAGAAAGAATTAAGGATTTTAATTGTGCTTACTTTTAAAATTTGATACATCCTTTAATTTGTGGTTTACGCGAACACGAATATCACAAAACTAATTTGAACTCTATCAAATACAAAAATGTTGGTTTTAATTTTTGGTCGGGAAACCAAGTTAACTTATCTTTTTTGTGTTGATAAGAACCAGACATAATATTAATCATTCCATTGTGCCATTTAATCGTAATGAGTTCAGAAGTTGATAACTATTTAAGTTTTATAACTTTGCTAAAAATATCCTTTAATAATTTATATTAAATATTAATAATTTATTTGTTTTTAGCTTTATTGCATCCTGAAAATCCTTTATACAACACACTTTCATGTAGCGTTGTTGAAGCATTAAAGGTCATAGAACTCCCACGCGGAGAATATTTATTGGTGTTTGGATCATTGGCTGCGTATGTAGATCGATTGGGACGACGATCTAGAGATAGGGAAATTATGTATCCTGCTGTTCCACTTGCTTTGTGTAAGTAATTTCTTTTTGTTTCGATTGGTTTTATTGTTTTTTCTTAATTAGGTTACCGAGATGGACATTTGGTTGTATACAGTGAAACTCACATCGATATTTTCAATTGTGCCTCTGGCGAATGGGTACAAACGTTGAATGTTAAACGAGCAAAACCTCTCAACGAAACCGGAAGTTTATCTTTGTGCGTTTTGTACGATTACGTACATTTATTGTATCTTTCGAATATTTATCAACGTAAGTGTAAAAGAAATTTTTTTTGTTTATGCTATAAGTGGTTTGTTTATTTTTTTTTTAGGAGAACTCATTAATTTAGATAATATAATCATTCAAGATAGGGATGGTCGGACCATACAAAAACCAAGAAGGAGATTTTCTATACGTGAAGGCAATAAATCTCAGAGAATGTAGGTTTTTTTTAATAGCTGTAATGTTTAATAATTTATTTATTATATTGTTTCAATTGTAGTAATTCAGATAGACGTTCGAAATTGATATCAGCACCAACGAACTTTAATCATATAACACATATGGGACCAGGTGACGGTATTCAAAAACAGAGATTAATAGACTTGACCACTAATTTGGTGGATTCCTCAGAACAATTACCATCTCATCATCAAAGGGTAATGTATATGTTTTAAATTTAGTTTTTAATAAAGTCGCATTTTCTTATAATTATTGCTATATTATAGCAATAGTATAGTGAAAGATCACGCAACTGCTTTTATTCCTCAATTTACATATACAGTGTGTCCGTAAAGTAACGGATATAGGCGATAAAATCATTATAAACTGTTTGTGGAAAAATTTTGCATTAAGGAGGTCAACTACTTACTAACTTATTTTTTGACACTTAGAAAATTATTTAAAACAATCGGTTACCATAGTTACTCATGGCTACTGCTATTTTTATTATGTCAAGCAAATTTGAAGAAGTTAATCTTTGAAGTAATTTTTCTCGAAAATTTTCTTATGTAACCAATATTAATATTGACTGTACTAGATTCAGAAAAACATCCTCTTTCATATTCCGTAATGAAAATGGGAGATTGCCATTTGAAAAAAATATCGATGATGTCATAGCTCGTTTAAAAATGGTGGAAAAAATTTTAAATCTACACCAAAAGATTGCAAAAAATTTAAATCTTTAGACCCGTTTCAAGGATTTTTCCATAAACCGTTTATAATGATTTTATCGCCTATATCCGTTACTTTACGGACAACTGTATATATATTCTTAGAAACCTTTAAATGGAAAAAACTGTGGAAAAGTTTTCTGCAATCGCTGAATGTTTCTACTTAATTTTTCAATTTGATAACTTGTGGTTGGGGAAGAACGATTCGTTATATGTATAGAGGTGTCCCGTATCTTCCGCGTCAGAGTATTATACAGTTATAGGATACTAATTTACTAATTACCTACGTACGGTTATTTAAATGCCTCCACGTATCTACTGACTGGAAGTCTAGCCCCCAATAAGAAAAAAATAATTTTGATTAAATTCGCTATAACTAAAGAACGGTTCGACCGATTTTACTGTTATACAGGTGTCTCGTATCTTCCGCATCAGAGCATTATACGCTTGAAGGATGCATTATTCTGAAGCGATTTTGCTAATAAATTTTTTTCGAAGTGTTTATAATAACTGCACGGGGACTGTTTAAAAATGTCCAATAGCGGATTCACGAATTCACAGAAAAAGTTTATTTCTTTTTCCGTGTCGAATCTATTGGTGAGTACACGTGAGAAACGTCTTATGAGCGGCGCGGCGGACCGGCCGAGGGTGGGGCCGATTACCTGAATCTGATTTATGATCTGCTATTGGACGTCGTTAAACAGTTCCCGTGCGGTTATTATAAACATTTCGACAAAAATTTATTAGCAAAATCGCTTCAAAATAATGTATCCTACAACCGTATAATGCTCTGATGCGGAAGATATGGGACACCTGTATTTCAGTTGTGTACAAGTGCCTACAACATATATTGCTGAAATTTAACTACGTTAGAAAAACTAGAAAGGCGGTAGCAAAAAGATGTGTCTTATTAAACTAAGGAAATAAGTACTATTTTTTTTATAAATTACTAATACTGGTTGTCAATTATTGAGGTATATGAAATTAACTGAAATTAAATTCACAAAAACGTAACTATGAATATTCAAATTTAGTTTATGACATGTTCGATATGCTTGCCATGAATGGTTACAGACGACGAACAAAATTCTGCAAAACTTGCTAAAGTATCGAGATATCGATTCCTTCGATGACATCTTGAGTAATAGTTTGACGATTATTTAGTAAAGTTTGTCTTTAATATTTCTCCAGAAAAATGAGTTACNTTCGATGACATCTTGAGTAATAGTTTGACGATTATTTAGTAAAGTTTGTCTTTAATATTTCTCCAGAAAAATGGGTTACAAAGATTGACATTAAGTGAATATGGAGGCCAGATGATTCCCATTCCAGTAGCCTCTGTGTACTTCAGAGCCAACATATATTCTTCAAAGTGCCTTTTCAGGACTTTAAACATTCTATTGGTCCAATTGGGCTGTGTTCCAACTTCTTCTTCATGAACCACAACGATTTGATCACTTTGGATAATAGGAATAATATGATTTTTAAAAATTTATCGCACCAATTAGTCAGCGATCAAATAGTTACTCATTTTGGAGTGGAGAGACTTCTTGATCGCGAACTGGAGTTATCCCAACATATTCAATCGCCAAGTTTTAACACTATTTCTATCACAACTTTGTGTATATCTTTTTCGCTCAAAACATACAGTCAAATAATAGGGTTGGTTATGAACAGATGTTCGTTAACTGTGATATTTGTCGCTGGCTTAAAACAGTTACGAACTTATCATGTCTCAAACGTTGCCTTTTATCAAAATGCAAAATTCTACTAAGAATTTTAATGGCGGAATTTAGTCTTATTCCATAAAAATTTGCGATAATCACAATATTGAAAATGGAAGATTGAATTGTATAGTTTCAGTAAAAATGTAGTGCATGAAGTTGATAAACCTGTTAATCGGTTTACAAATAGACATGTTAGAGAGAAGATCTGTAGCGATTTATCTTCTGTGCAAACTTTTCTAGGAAAAGTCACCAAAAAAATGAATGATTAAATTGAATTAAAAAAAATATTAATTGAAATTTGCTCCGAAATTGATAAAAAAATGCAGGAATGACTTCCACTCTTTTCATAAAATAGTTTACTATACAAGAGAAAAACTTTTAAGTAGAGAACAACGTTAACTCTTCGTCAGATCTACGAGTATCCAGTAAATAACCGCATGCACTTAGTTTGTTGATAGATATCTCAGCAACCATTGTAAAAAAATGCGTAAAGTGATCATTTCTAAATAATACACGTGATTTTAAAAATTTTCGACTCTGCAGTTTTTTTTATTGCTAGTTAAATGAAAAGAATAACTGAGTTTCGATGATGAGTAACTGGAGGTTCTAATTTTTTCCCAAGTATTATACTTCGAAATTACTTGGAATTTCGACAGGAAATAGCATGATATTTCGTAGGATGCTGTTATTTCGAAAACGCAGGAATGGATTTTAACGCAATTTTTATATACTTTATCAAAATCAAGTTTTTCTATTTCTGTAGAGTTAGTTAAGTAGCCAGCAATTAATTTCATAGAAAAACAAATTAAGCCACACCTTACGATGCTACGTAATGGACAAAGACAAGAAGTGGAAACAGAAAGTCGTCAACATAAATTAATGTCGCATTTTTATATCAATAAACTTAGTACTTCTGCTTCTTGAACAATAGGAGATTTATATTTCTAAAGCATTTTATGTCCGAAGAGGCACTTAAGATTTAAGATTCATATCTAATTTCTATAAAACAGCTCTGCTTTGAAATTAATATATTATTGTTGAGCAGAAAAATAGTTCTTGAATTTATTGCTGCAATATTTATCAGGTGATAAACTATGTGTTTTACATACAAAGTTGTCGACAAGACTGACTCATATTTGCCCTTGACAAATTTAACTTGCTCAAATAATTATACAAAGGACCCAAAAGTATTTTTAGATTTTATGAAAACAATTACACCTTTATTTACAATGACTCGCAAAAGAAATTGTAGAATGTGTCTTCGCTTCTTGTATCTTCTTCTGAACGAATATTTTTTAGCATAAAATTCAAAAATATAGTATAAATAATATTCACCTCAACTAAAAAATAACAAGTTAATTTTATACAGGTGCCCATTATGTATGGAGTATCGTATATATCTAGGTAGGTATCAACTTTATAAAAAAACATTTTATACAAAAGTTGTTTAATATTTTATTTGCCATAATAAGACAGCATTCAATTGTTTTTATTTCAGAAAACAAATGAGCAACGAATAACACTTGAAGTCTTTTAAATGGCAATGTACCCTTTCGTTAGGCTTATTTTATAGAGATTATTTTTTAAAAAAATGTAAAAATTGTTTATTATGAAAATTTGACTAATAAGATTAATCTAGATATCCGAGATCGTCAAGTACCTCGTAGTACCTCGAATTATTGCGAATGTACACTAATTTTTCGTTTATTTGTTTTATTTTGTATGTAAATTTAATTTACGGTAATAATTCGAGCTACTTGACGATCTCGGATATCTATGTCATTAATTAATTTTTATTAATAAACAATTTTTACATTTATTCAAAAATTTTCTGATGTAAGGGCACAAAAATTTTACGTTATCGTAAAGAGAAAAGTAATCTCTATCAAATGAGCCTAACGAAAGGATATATTGCTATTTAAAGTTTCCTCGTAGTACCTCGAATTATTGAGAATGTACACTAATTTTTCGTTTATTTGTTTTATTTTGTATGTAAATTTAATTTACGGTAATAATTCGAGCTACTTGACGATCTCGGATATCTAAATTAATGTCATTAATTAATTTTTATTAATAAACAATTTTTACATTTTTTCAAAAATTTTCTGATGTAAGGGCACAAAAATTTTACGTCATCGTAAAGAGAAAAGTTATTTGTTTTCTGAATCAAAAACAACTTTTGTATAAACTATTTTTTTATAAAGCCAACATTTACCGAGATATATACTATATTCCATACATAATGGGCACCCTGTATAATACAAAATAAATTATACAACAAATATAGCGCGACTTTCGAAACAACTTTATTTTCTTCTTTTCTTTATGACTATCTACTATTTTACACTACTAAAATCATTTAAAAAAATTCTATATACCCATATTTATTTAGTATAACTTTGTGGAAACCACATAGCATTGAGAGCTTGTTAGGTTATCACCCGTCAAAATTCCATCATTCACGGTAGTTTATTCACTGTTAGCTTATTTGTTTTATTTTATACATATACCCGAGTTATGCAAACGGAATATGCTATTGGTGAACGCTTTATTTCGGAGGAAAATTACATTTCAAAAGTCTTTAAGAACATTATTACTAAGTATGCTGTGTTTCTGCTTGTACATTTTTGGAACAAACTATCGTATGATACAATGGCAAAACATTGAAAAAATATACTTTGCTAGTCAGTGAATTTCAGGTATTCAAATGACGATATGGGATGATTCAGACGACGATATTTCTTTGTTAATTATGATTGAGAAATGCATGTCAGTGTATCTTGATGTACCGGGATCTGCAGAAACCAGAACGTTGTCGCAGAAAATTAACACTGACAAACAACCTTCATAATCTGTATATTATTTGTTGTAATTGATGTGTATTAATACAATTTTCACATACAGGAAATATATATAATATATAAGGTATAATAATTCATAATATAAGGCTGTCTTTGATTCTTAATTATTTTTCTGTTTAATTTTCTGTAATCAGCGTATATTCAATGATGTTATTCTGCTTCTTTATAAGCATGATTGGACTTGCACAATTTCTGATTTCATAAAGAAACGTGTTTTCACTCTAAAACATTTAATATACAAAAAAAGGAACGTGATGCGCCCAAAAAATACTATTTAATTTCGGTCAACTGAACAGTGATATGGAAGCTGAGGAAGATTACNGACTGACTCATATTTACCCTTGACAAATTTAACTTGCTCAAATAATTATACAAAGGACCCCAAAGTATTTTTAGATTTTATGAAAACAATTACACCTTTATTTGTAATCACTCGTAAAAGAAATGGTAGAATGTGTCTTCGCTTCTTGTCTCTTTTTCTGAACGTATATTTTTATCATAAAATTCAAAAATAAAGTATAAATAATATTCATCTCAACTAAAAACTAACAAGTTAATTTTATATACAACATATTCAGGATGTTTCGGTAACTCGGGGAACAAATTTAACCACATATACTAGAGTGAAAATGATGACGATTCATGTAAAAAAAAATTAGTAAAAGTCTTCAAATTTCAAAGATACAGGCCATCAAAGTTAGAAAATTTTAACACATTTTTCTAAATATCTTAAACACTATTTACAGTAAAGCGCTGAAATTTGGTACAGTATAAATCAATGTGATGTAAAATCGTTAGGCAATTTATGAGTTGGATCGGTCCGCGGGAACAATGCTATAAGACTGTTCCTAAAGTTTGTTTGCTTAGAACTTTTTTATTCTATCACAACCCTACATTTATTATTACAGTTTCTAATAGTAAATTTAGTTTAGAAACTTTTATTACTGTTAGGTAATATTGATAAAAATCACCGTTTTTGAACATTTCCTTTAGTATTTTTTATTACTTGTCTTGTTATTTTATGTACTTTTTTTATTATTTCTGTTAGTGTTGTCGTTTTTTTGTTTATTTTTTGTTGATTTTTATTTTATTGTTTTTGGATTCTTTTATTAAACCAACTAAAACAAATTAAAAATGTGATTTAGCTAAATCTACCCTTGGACATGTTGCATACGTTATGGTTATGAGAGCTCAGTTCGATTTTCACTTGTCATTGCCAATTCAGATTATTTATTTATTTTTTTTTTAGTGTTATTGAATTCGGAGCTTAATATTTTATTTAATACGAAAACGGTGGTTTTTATCAATATTCTCTAAGACTGATAAAAGTTTCTAAACTAAATTTACTATTACAAACTGTAAAAATAAATGTAGGGTTATGATAGAATAAAAAAGTTCTGAGCAAACAAACTTTAGGAACAGCCTGTGTAGCATTGTTCCCGCGTACTGATCCAACTCACACTGTTCCAAATTTCAACGATTTACCATAAATAGTGTTTAAGATATTTTGAAAAATGTGTTAAAATTTCCTAACTTTGATGGCCTGTATCTTTGCAATTTGAGGACTTTTACTAATTTTTTTACATGAATCGTCATCATTTTTACTCTAGTACATGTGGTTACATTTGTTCCTCGAGTCACCGAAACAGCCTTTATTACCCCGCCTTTCGAAACAACTTTACTTTCCTCTTCTTTTCTTTATGACTACTATTTTACACTACTAAAATCATTCCAAAAAATTCTACATACCTCATTATTTAGTACAACTTTGTGAAAATCACGTTGAAATCCACTCAACCGATTTCGACATCTATTAAACCACAGCGCATTGAGTCAAAATTCCATAATTCACGGTAACTTATTCACTGCTAGCTTATTTGTTTTATTTTATATACCCAATTTATGCTAACGGAATATGCTATTGGTGAACGTTCTTTTTGGAGGAAAATGACATTTTAAAAGTCTTTAAGAAAATTATTATTAAGTATGCTGTGTTTCTGCTTGAAAATTTTTAGAACAAACATTAATATCTCTTAAACATTTAATATACAAAAAAAGGAACGTGATACGCCCAAAAAATACTATTTAATTTCGGTCAACTGCACAGTGATGTGAAAGCTGAGAGTACATTTTATTTTGAAATTATAGTCTAATTATAAACTCTATAACGTTCGCTGAAAACAGCTTTTGATTCGTTTTCGGACTCGTCAAAGTCTATAGTGGCATGAGAAAAAAGGACAATCTTAGCTAGTTATTGTATGTAAAGGGATTAATAATAATCTGGAATTTCTGAATAGCTCCTTGTACATGAGAACTATTTACCATTGGATAAATCAGCAACAAAATTTGAAAACATTTGAAATCACAATTTGAAGTTTTATATAATATCGAAAAAAATGAAATAAGAGAGAGAGAGAGAAAGTCCACTAAATGCCGTTCTTCCCCAGTTACGCGTATCTGCAATTAGTCGTTAAAGTTCTTCAACGCATTTTCCAATATTACAACAGAAACTGCAGCAATTTTACGTCGTATGGCATCTTTTAAATATGGAATGGTGCGTGATTTGACAATGTACACTATGGACTGTAGGCATCTTCATAAAAATAAATCCTAGGGGGAGAGGTCAAACGAGCGCGATGGCCACAGAACTTCACCATTTCTGGAAATCAGGTGTCAAATCATATTTTATGGACGAGATTCATTAGAATTCTGGCGGTATAAGTAGTGGCTCAGTATCGTTGAAACCACATTTTTGAGTGTCGATTCATTTTCTTATAGGGATTAAATTCATGAATCTTAACCACGTAGCGTTCTGATGTTACCCGCTGCTCTCATCCTTAAAAAAATAAAGTTACCACCCACAACTTTTGACAAAGCACAGCATAGTGTAAGCACTTAACTGTCAAGAGGATGATAAAGAGGATTCAAGAGAATTGCAACGGCATAAGTAGAAGAAGATGTATCTACATGAAAATGTGCTTCGCATGATATGATATATGCAATTTTTTTTCTAAGAATATCCAACATGCGCTTACTGAATTGCAGAAGTTGAACGTTGTCAGTTAGAAGCAGTTCTAGACTCTAGAGTCTAGACCATTATTTATTTAATAGAGTTCGAATTTTAAATTATTTTTCATAACGGTTTGAAAGCCTTGACTCCAAACCACGCCGTTTACAAATGTGTTTAGATTTTTTCACGTTGTATGTTATTTGTTATAATAAATGTGTCCGGAATCCAATAATCCGGATGCTTTAATAAGCCGGATTAAGCAATTTTAATTGATCTAGATTAGTACATGAAAAAATTCATTCCTATGATCTAAAGTGTTTTAATATTTAATTATTTGTAATCAGCCCATATTCGCGACTTCTATTGAAAATCGTACATCCATTTTTCTATCAAACAAACGTCAACTACATCCAATGTACTGACCGTTTATTCAACGTCTTTAAACGACTATACAAATTCTAAATTACAAACATATCTAACATATCGCGTCTAATACGCCCAATACAAAGCGTTTTTTTTTCAAACTCCGCTTACGTTTCCAACTTTTTGAATCTAAACCCTAGCAACTGCATATATTATTCAAATTTCGAATTGTTACATTAAATCGTTTAAAAACTGGCTTTTAATAAAAAAAAATATTGATATTTTTTAGGCTCCTCCTAAACTGATGCCATTACCTTTAAAACCTGGTGAAAGAAAACGACCAGAAATCTCAAATCCAATTAAAACCACATTCCCAGTGTATAATGGTGCTAAAAGGACGGCTCCTTCTCGGCCTAGAGATCTTCCGCCCGCACTGCCAAGACCTTCAGATACATCGCCATCACCAGATCCCGCTAGCCTTGGTAGTATGAGTTCATTACATGATTTAATTAAGGTAAGATCACTTTATTCTTTTAATTTTTATTACTAATAACCCATCCTTTTTCTTTCTTTTCAATAGGGAACTGATAGAGGAAGCCCTCGTCATTCAATTGCAAGTAATAACAGTTCGAATTTGTCAACACCACCATCACCACAAGCTGATCACCACAACAGTTCTAGTTATGACAGTTAAATTGATATATTTTCGAATTTTTAGTATTCTTTCTGAACATTTTTTCAACATTAAAACATTTTTATATAAACGAAACGAGCGAAATACAACAAAGAAAAACATTAATAAATATCATTCGTAGATAGAAAAGCTTTTTTGAAAGTGATACAATCGAAATTAACGATGCAATACGCAATTTTACAAACAATTACAAAAACGTTACTTAAATAATCCATAAAAAAAAAGAAATGAAGTTGGTTAGTTCTTGTAGTTGATTCGAAATACAGTACAATCCAAGTCCAAAATATTCGACGTAGTTTAAACCTATAATCCGACTAGTTACCTCATGTGTATATAATATATATATATATATATGATAATGTATATCAGCTTTTATGTTTTTTTACCCTTTTCTTAAGTAATGGCATTGTACTTATTGTGTTAAATATTTTCGTTTTTTTATTTAAATATTTTTAACTGATATTGTATTATAATGCAAGTCAATTATTGTATTCGTAGTTATTTAATAATTAACCTTCAGCAATATATTTTGTAACTTAGTGTATAATTTTATTTATTCATTAAAAAGAAATTGGATATATAAATTTTTATGTATGTGTAATGTAATTATGTATTTTTTGCTGTGAGAATCTTTAGTACAATTATTGTTTTTTTTTATTTGAATTTTTTAACAGAAAAATAAAATATTTTTTGTCTAACGATTTTTAAGAGACAACCGAAAAACTTTTTTACAAAAAAAAGTGATAAATTAGTGATTATATTCGAAATGAGAAAAGAAAACAAAAAAAAATACACTTATTATTATTCGTTCTCTTTTATAGAAATATTTAAACAGCGAGACAATATAATAATATGTATTTCACGCGAATGATCGTATCTGTTTGTTTATAATATTACCGCGAAATATAAAAAAATTATAATATTTAAAGACGTTTCAGATGCGGTGTCGCGAACGAGTTTTTAATAAATTTTTTATTCGTGAAGTGTACAATAAGAACACACGAACGTAGAGATGTTTTACTTACTAATTATAAAATAAAATTGAGAAAAAAAAGTGGTAATAACGTCACAATGATAATATAAAAATTATTATCCCACATTTTTACTTTATCTAGTAGATTTATTATATTCTAATTAACAATTTTTTTTAAATTTTATTTCGTTGTAAAGCGAGAAGTTTATTGTAATAACAGTATATATGATATATTAACATAGTATTATGTAATTCTGTTGCATATCTATTTTTAATTATTTTCTTTTTCGACATTATTTATTTTACACCACTGAAGCTAATTTTATGTGTGTGATTATTATATAATTTATTTACAAGTATATTCATTCTTTTTCTTTTTTTTATTTATATTTTTTGTATCTAAATAAAAATTCGAATTGCAAATAAGTCATTTCTTTTAATCACCAATCCTAAAGATGGAATCGATAATAATTAATACAGTAAAATCTCGATATAACGGAGTAATATGGGAATGGGAGTGTCCAAAAGACCGTTATATGTAAAAATTTTAAATGTAGCGCCGAATAACGACTAAAACTGGAACTAACACTACCACTAGAACTTGTGATGGAACGGATAATGATTTTGCGAAAAAACCGGATATCCGGTTATCCGACATATCTATCCGGCCGTTATGGTTATAGTTATAATTTTTGGTGCATTTCTGAAGTGATACCCTACATTGCCACATTATTGCGATATTTGAATAAAAATTAAATTAATAATAATTTAATAAGAAAGCTGATAAGATATGTCAACTTATTTGGATCCAAGATACAAAATGAACCTTTTTGATGCTGATTTAACTAACCAAGGAACTCTAAAGGATACTTTAATTAATAATTGGCGATATTTCCACAAGGATCCGTCAAGAAATGAATTTTGAAAGTTATCGATGAAAATTGCAACATCGAAAATTTTATTAAATTGTTTTTTCAAAAACTAAAAGTTATTTTTCAAAACGGGTTGGTTCACTGGAAAGAGGAGATTTTTATTAACACTTTGGGAAATTTTCATACTCATATTCCAAAATATGGATTTTATACGAATTTTTAAAACTTAATCGGTGAAAATTGCAAAATTTGAAAAAAAATGTTGATTAATTCAAAAATTTATTTTTCAAGAACTAAAAGTGATTTTTCAAAACGCCTTTTTGCATTAGAAAGAGGATACTATAATTGGCGATATTTCCACAAGGATCCTTCAAAACATTAATTTTATAGCGAATTTTGAAAGTTATCGATGAAAATTGCAACATCGAAAATTTTATCAAAACTTCAAATATTATTTTCTCAAAAACTAAAACTTATTTTTCAATTTTTCGGGTTCGTTGGAAAGAGGACAGTTTTATTAACACTTTAGGAAATTTTCATGCTCATATTCCAAGACATTGATTTTATACGAATTTTTAAAACTTAATCGGCGAAAATTGCAAAATTTGAAAAAAATGTTGATTATTTCAAAAATTTACTTCTTAAGAACTAAAAGTGATTTTTCAAAACGCCTTGTTGTATTAGAAAGAGGATACTGTAATTACTAGCGAAGAGAAGAAAACTAGACGATACTGCACCAAGAGATTTTGTATATCGTATTAGGATTGTTACAATGACAAACCTGGTATAAATAAAGTTGTATTCAATGAAAAGAATCCTCGTGTGGTTGAACTTGATTATTATCTGCAGTGTCCAACACCTAAAACAGACACTAATTACTGTGAATGGTGGAGTACTAAGTAATAAGTTTTTAATATCCGGCTAGGATATTTGGTAACTACAGGGTCCGGCAGTGACAAGGAAAGATTTAAAATAGGGTTTGCAGCGCGCCGCGAAGTGATGGGGAAGAAAGTAGCCAACTTGCCAAGACCTGCGTAATTTGCCATTTAGTTTACAATGGAGCGTTGGACGGGTGAGCATCGCGGTTATGCAGTTAAAGCCTATTTTTAAAACGGTGAGATTTCGGCAAACGGGCAAATCATCGGTCCATATTTTTTTGAAAATGAGGGTGAAAATGCCGTTACCGTTAATTCTGTACGATACGTTGCAATGATTCAGAATTATCTCACACCACAACATGAAGGCCTTCCAGGGAATGAAGACACACTTTTTCAACAAGACGGGGCAACAAGTCACACTACAAGAATTTCAATGAATGCTGTAAATGTTTTGAAACGGGGATATCAGTTGACCACCTCGGTCTTCCGACCTAACCCCCTGCGACTTCTTTCTTGCAGAGCTTCTTTATGCAAAACTTTCAGACACAACTCCAAGAATGCATAAATTATAACGGAGGACATTTGGCGGATGTAGTATTCAAAAAATAATTCTTTTGATTTTGTAAACCAAATGGTAAATCATGCAGGTATTGGCAAGTCGGCTACTTTCTTCCTCATCACTTGGCGGCGCGCTGCAAACCCTACCTTAAATCTTTCCTTTTCACTGCCGAACCCTGTATCCGGTATCCGGCCTGATTTTAATAAATGGCAGGATAGTTGCCGGATATCCGTTCCACCACTAACTAGAACTAACCATAGAACTAGAAACATTCTGGTTTAGCTGTGCGTCTCTTAAGACGGCTAATCCAGAATGATTCTATTTCTACTGTTAGTTCTAGTTTTGTACTAGCACTATCACTAGAACTAAGACAAGACCTATAATCATGGGTTTCGCCGTCTTGAGAGATGTGCGGCTAAATCCGAATGTTTCTAGTTCTAGGTCTAATGTTAGTTCTAGTGACAATGGTAGGTAGCCCTAGTTAGCATAAGAAATATTATGTTGCATATTTTTATTGAACTAAAACTAGAACTAACACTAGACCTAGAACTAGAAACATTCGACATCTTTAGGCGCACGGCTAAACCCGAAACTTTCTAGTTCTAGGTCTACTGTTTGCACTAGCACTTGAACTAACACACGACCTAGAACCAGAATCATTTGGATTTAGCCGTCTTGAGAGACGCACGGCTAAAGGACGATTGTCATAATGACGTCATCTTGTTCCAAGTAAAACTTTTCCTCTGCAAAATTGCCTAATGCCTTTACTATTAAGCTATGTTGCATTTTAAGTGGGAAAGCGCACACTAGTTTCGTAACTATGATTACTGCATTCATATGTATATTGCGACTTATATAAAATTCGCAGTATGTAGTTTGTAAATGTTTTATTTTATATTTTAAACAATTGTTTAATATAAATTAAATGTTTTTACTCTAGCAAAATGTGTGTTTTAACTGTTTTATTAAATATAACATAATACTTAATTAATACGGACCTGACGTCATAAAATTTATGACGCGCCCGCTCCTGTTATAAAATCGGGCGCACCCGCTCGAAGATTTAAAACTAGAACTACCGTCCTTGATTTATACATCCTATAGACAACCCAGGGAATACCTCGAGTTTATTTATGAACGTGGAATATAGCAACTTGAGGGATAACCAGAGTTGGGTTAATACTGATGTATGAAATAGATAATGTTAATAGTACATCCGTTATATCGAGATTTTAGTGTATTAGTATTGGATTAAAAATTAAAGGAAAAAAGAACAAAATAAATATTTGACAAATTTATTTTTCTTTTATTATAAATGATCAATAGCTTAAACTAACATAAAGTGCCCATCCCCCTGTGAAAGTATTGTAGATTTATTTTTTTTATTTTAAATGGAAAGCATCATTGCTCTTTACAGCGCTACTACCCTAAAGCTGTCGTTCCTAACAGGTAATCATATATTTCGAAATACAATACTACATTATAACAAATTGATCGAATCGAAATCCGCTCTATTTTGCGCCATGGAACACACATATTCGCCTCTATTTATTTTTTTTTGTAAAGTTTGTATTAAAACGACAAAAAACCATCAATTATTACTACTAGTACGAAAAGCTCGAAATAGTGATTAAATAATGAAATATATCGTGTGCCATGTCCAAAATAGTAACATTTCTTATCTTTGAATCATCATCATCATCAATCGTTATTAATAATGTGGTGAAAGCCTAAGTACACTCATGATCAGATCTTTATTTCCTTATTTAATTATTGAATTCTAAGCCACGTTCACGACTACAATTAAATGTACGCGAACATGTTGCATAATTTAATAATAATAGTACCCTAATGTAAAACGTACTTTTCACATTCATTCTTATAATCATTCATACCAAATCCATTTATATTGTTTTATATACAAGTTTTCTTTATTCTTTTTTTAATGTTTGAAAAAGCATATTTATTTGTATTAAAATAAGCTAAATTTACACCATTTCTTAAATACTTACAACGAAATTATTAATAATAGTAATTTATTCATAACTAATTAATTCTCAACTCAAAATTAATAATTTTTGATTAAAACAAAACAAACATTTATTTTTTTTAATGAAACGAAATAAGAGAAAATATAAAAAAGTTGGTTTGTGTTAGATTATTCGAGATTGAGACTAATATATTAATATTAAATAATTGATTCATTTTTTATCCTATATATAGTTATATACAGAGTGAGTATATGACGTATAAGCCAATAAATATACACGTTTACTAGGCAATCTCTACGAGATCTGGTATTTTCTTTTCCTTTAAAAAAAACAATAAACGAGACGTTGAACTTAACAAAGTTAAAAAAAAAATATTTTACATTCCAGATTTTTTTTATAATTATTTTTTCTTTAAATTACGATTTTACGTGTAAATTTTACACTATTAATTAGTTCAACTATAATTTTAAATAAAAAATACCTTTTTTTTTTTAATAATAGTTATTTGATAGTGTTCCATGTTTTTCTTTTTTGGTCAGTTGTAAGAAAATTTAATAATTAAGTGTGTGCAGTCAAATTTTCAAAAAATTGGCATATTGCACCAAATTTGCCAACGAAATAACAAACACCGTTTATGTTACGTTTTTAATTTAATTTTTAGTTTAGCACGTGGTAACCTTATAAAAGAGAAAAAATGCCAAGTAGAAACATTTTCGAGAACAATTTTCTTTTTAAATCAAAATCGGAGATCTTTTTCAATTAAAAACTTATTACTGCGTATTTAACGAATTTTTAAATAAGTCTGTATGTGTTTTTCATTTGATTTTTAATTATTTATTTATTATTTTTTATTTCGTAGAGTTCTTTTAATTATTAAATGTAGAGATTTCAATCTCGTGTATCACAAGATCTTTCAATTAAAAAATCCCTATATATTTTATTATTTAGTTAAGATTGTTTTTGGATTTTTTTAACTTGTGTATCTGTGTTATAAAACAATTAGATATTACTACTTAACAACAAACGCCTTATCATAAGATGGAAATAAACGAACAAAGTTATTATTGTTGAAGTTGTCGTTGAAATGGAGTCGTAGAATAAAAAACGAATTGGATTAATAGTTGAAAAAGCACTGAGTTTGAAATCTCTACATCACGTTTTGTCCATCTTTCATTGCGCTGGCTCGGTGGTCGATACATCGGGCCCGCTGACGGGCAGTCACAGCTTTAGTTCATTAGCTATCTTACCGGCAATATTCTTGAAACCAATACTAGTACCTAAAATAGAAAGGAATAAAATTATAAAATTAGTACTCGGTTTTGAGACAATGATTTGTTTTAAGGAATATGGAGGCGCAGAATGGGGCACCTACTTCGTATCAGAGTTTATTTTCGATACTATCCAAAAGACTCTGAAAGCAGTAATTCGCACAACGACGGTGAATCCAAGATACTAATGTTCACACCAATTCCATCTACGAGGTCTCTAAGACGATTCGATCAAATTTCTTTACAAACTAAGTTATGTAAAAAGCGAAATACACCATTTATATGGCATAACGCACGTATAAAAATTTGATACTAACAATTGAAGAAGCAGTCGAGGACGCCTTTGGACCAATCGAACAAAATAAAGAACTCCCAGATAAGTGGAATAAAGAAGCCAAAGAAAAGATACAGGAGAAGAAATTACTATACCAAAAGTCTATAATATATAGTATAAGGTAGTGGTGGAACGGATATTCGGCAACTATGCGGCTTTGGGGGGATATTAATTAAAAACCTATTACTTAGTGCTCCACCATTCACAGGACTAAGTATCTCTTTTAGGTGTTGGACACTGAAGATAATAATTAAGTTCAACCCCAACAGGACTTTTTTCATTGAATACAACTTTATTTATATCAGGTTTGTCATTAGCAACCTCATTGTAACAGTCCCAATACGTTATATAAAGTCTCCTGTTGCAGTTTCGTCTAGTTTTCTTCTCTTTGCTTGTAATTTATCATCACATTCATTACTAACAGAACTGTTGCTGTTATCACTTCCGATTATTAATTAAAGTGTCCTCTTTTTAATGCAAAAAGCCGTTTTGAAAAATCACTTTTAGTTTTTGAGAAATAAATTTTTGAAATAATCGACTTTTTTTTCGAATTTTGCAATTTTCGCCGATTAAGTTTTAAAAATTCGTATAAAATTCAGTTCTTGGAATATGAGTATGAAAATTTCCCAAAGTGTTAATAAAAGTGTCCTCTTTCCAATGAACCAACCCGTTTTTAAAAATATCTTTTAGTTTTTGAGAAAACAATATTTGAAATTTTGATAAAATTTTCGATGTTGCAATTTTCATCGGTAACTTGCAAAATTCGTTATAAAATTAATTTCTTGAAGGATCCTTGTGGAAATATCACCAATTATTAATTAAAGTGCCCCCTTTTTAATGAAAAAAGCCGTTTTGAAAAATCACTTTTAGTTCTTGAGAAATAAATTTTTGAAATAAGCGACAATTTTTTCGAATTTTGTAATTTTCGCCGATTAAGTTTTAAAAATTCGTATAAAATCCAGTTCTTGGAATATGAGTCTGAAAATTTCCCAAAGTATTAATAAAAGTGTCCTCTTTCCAATGAACCAACCCGTTTTGAAAAATAACTTTTAGTTTTTGAGAAAACAATATTTGAAGTTTTGATAAAATTTTCGATGTTGCAATTTTCATCGATAATTTTCAAAATTCGCTATAAAATTAATTTCTTGAAGGATCCTTGTGGAAATATCACCAATTATTAATTAAAGTATCCTCTTTTTAATGCAAAAAGCCGTTTTGAAAAATCACTTTTAGTTCTTGAGAAATAAAATTTTGAAATAATCGACAATTTTTTCGATTTTTGCAATTTTCGCCGATTAAGTTTTAAAAATTCGTATAAAATCCAGTTCTTGGAATATGAGTATGAAAATTTCTCAAAGTGTTAATAAAAGTGTCCTCTTTCCAATGAACCAACCCGTTTTTAAAAATATCTTTTAGTTTTTGAGAAAACAATATATGAAGTTTTGATAAAATTTTCGATGTTGCAATTTTCACCGATAATTTTCAAAATTCGCTATAAAATTAATGTCTTGAAGGATCCTTATGGAAATATCACTAATTATTAATTAAAGTGTCCCCTTTTTAATGCAAAAAGCTGTTTTGAAAAATCACTTTTAGTTCTTCAGAAATAAATTCTTGAAATAATCGACAATTTTTTCGAATATTGTAATTTTCGCCGATTAAGTTTTAAAAATTCGTATAAAATCCAATTCTTGGAATATGAGTCTGAAAATTTCCCAAAGTGTTAATAAGAGTGTCTTCTTTTCAATGAACCAATCCGCTTTGAAAAATAACTTTTAGTTTTTGAGAAAACTTTCGAGTTTCGATAAAATTTTCGATGTTGCAATTTTCATCGATATGTTTCAAAATTAGCTATAAAATTCATTTCTTAAAGGATCCTTGTGGAAATATCACCAATTATTAATTAAAGTGTCCCCTTTTTAATGCAAAAAGCTGTTTAGAAAAATCACTTTTAGTTCTTGAGAAATAAATTTTTGAAATAATCGACAATTTTTTCGAATTTTGTAATTTTCGCCGATTAAGTTTTAAAAATTCGTATAAAATCCAGTTCTTGGAATATGAGTATGAAAATTTCCCAAAGTGTTAATAAAAGTG